ACTTTAATGACAACCAGATTATTGTTTTGCATTAAATAATACAAATGAAAAAAGATAAAAATTGGCGTATTATAAGGTTCTAATAACCTGACAAAAAAAAGGTGTAGATAAGTAGAGTTACTATACCTCGGAGTTATCAGCTGGAAGTTTAGGGACAGAATTCTTTGAGTGACATTCTCGTTTGCTATTGTTTAGCAATGCCTGGATCTGAATTTTATATCTTTGCAAAAAGTTGAAAAATGCAAGTAGAAAATTTTAAACTTTTCAAAAGAGCTTATGAAAAAAACCAAACGTTTTTCAAAACCAAATCTGATGTTTATTTTTTTATGAAAAATCGATATGAGAAGAAATCTGAAGAAAAAGATTCAATTTTTAACTGCCTTTGTTTTGCTAATATTTTTCGAAAAATAAAATGAAATAAGAAAAAGTAAAATGAAAGTACATCATGAGATAATGACAAAAACCACAAACTATAAAACTTGTAATGAGTAAAAAACAAACAAACTCTCTGCAAATCTTCTTGTAATCTGAATATTCGATCTTCGAAACTTAAACGCATAGCATCTCCAGTTACAGAACTGTTGTATTTATCCAAGATATAAACAGTAAAACCAATAACAAATATGCATATCCAAAAAAATGCAAGCATTCGACGTACCAAATACCACCGTACAACCATTGCATGTCGTCCTTTCATCTACATTCACAATCCACTTCGATGGTTAAAAAACACCTAAGGTTCGTAAGAGTGACCAAACAGCGTTCTATCGCTCTTACTAACATCGATTAACCGCAAAGTCCCGTTCGGTCAGTTAGCGAACAGGTTTAATTTGAACTGGTACTTTGTGAGAGCAGATAAAAAGCAATCTCGTAATGTGTTCATTATTAAATATTATTAGAAATGAGGGTTATTGCTGCTGTTACCGAAAAGATTAACAACACAGCCAGTAATATTGTTCTGTTATTTGCTGAAAAATTAGATGACTAGTTGACTTAACTACATTATCAGTAAGAAGTATCGCAATTTAGTGCAACCAATATGAAAACAGCAAGAATGCACATGTCTTTTCTTCCTTTTCTCTTCTACGAGTTTATTTTCTTATGTAACTTAACTGCTTGCGGTGTATACATTTTTATTTTCAGCGTTCCACTATTACTCTCACCTTAGATTCATCTTATTCCATCAGTGGACATCAGCAATTTTCCATTCATTTATACACATATATATATATATACATACATCTATGCAAGCAATGGTTTCTCGTCTAAAACTACACCTGATAAATATACAACTGTAAATGCTTTCGATAACTCTTTCAACTACTATTATTTCCTTTGTTTCTCTTCTACAATTTTTTTCTCAACACTTTTGTATTTAACACACTCTTTAATTACATTTCATGCCACCATCATATTACAACCAAGATTGCATACTGCACAAACCATGAGAAGATTGTAAATTAATGGTACTCAACAACCACCAACCAACCCACAATTACCATTTTGAACTACCAAAAATTCACCAATTTCAGAAATTATCACGCTATGCAACTACACTTGTACTTTATATTGCATGCATAATTAAAATCCAAGATAAACGATTCTATAAAACAGTTGATTTGTTAGTACTGAATCAGAAATTAAAACAAAGATAACAGACTACAAAGAAGCTTCATCCACCAAGCAGAATATCACTGAAAGCTTTTCATTACCTAACTTGAAACAGCTTCTTCGATAGGCATTAAGAAACCTCCAATCCACCAAATTACTCTGAATTTGATGAATTTTTGGTAATTCAAAATGGCAATTGAGGGTAATTAAAAGTTTCCATGCTTAGACAACCACTCTTCTTTTCTGCATACATCACAATCCATATCTTAACAATAACAGTACATATTTTCAGATTTTTTAAATTAAATCAAAATAATTGTATCTCTTGAGAGTATTTTCTTTCTTACGCTACTGCTCTAGTTAACAATTTACTTCAAATTTCGCTCGTGTTTCCACTTGATACGCAGTTCGTAACATAAATATAAACTAAATCTACGGTTTGAATTGAACAACTCACAAATGAAATACAGAACTCAAACCAAAAAAATGGATAAGAAAATTAATACCTTACATACTAAGGTGTAATGGCAGAGACTGACAGATCTTAGGTGTGAACATAAATGAAAACTATAATTAGTTCGAACGAAACATTTTCACCATATAATCAGACAAAATGAAGGGCAATTCAATTCTATTTTACACATAGTGAATATGTCGGAAGAAGAAGAGACATGAAAGTATTTAAAATAAAACTGTTCATTTGAAAACAGAATTAATATGTGCACAGTGAATCTTTACACAAAGAGAAGAAATGAATTAAAACTACGAACTTTAGATTCCTATTACCCATACGTTAAAAATTTCTCTTTCAGCGAGAGAGAATTTTATTCAGACGTCACTCAAAAGAATGAATCATAGTTTATTTCTATGCCAGTTACAAAAAAAAAAAACTCTACGCAAGCACCTGAACTACAGTACTCCTATCATTAACTTGAGATATCGCAACAGCAAATACTACAAATACTGAATTACTATATCACCGGTAGCGTTCATCAAAATGAGAAATAATGAAAACAAAAAAAAAAGAACATCAAAAAAAGATACGAAAGTTCTATTGCAAAAACCAAAAAACAATTATGAACGAAAATTTTTTTGATATAATTACACATTTCCCGAACGATTCCTGAGATTAGGAAACTTCCACAGTTAGTTTATGAAGAATTAGTTGATAAACTCTTACCTACATGCATGTGGCAAAGTACCAATAATTTTAGCATTAAAATTAATATTAGTAATATTTTATTGTGATAAAGTGGTTAAAACTATTATCAGTCAGTAAATTGTCATTAAGATAAATAAAGCATTATTCAAGAGCATCCTGACTATCGCCAAATTTGCTTATTACCATCAGCATCATAATTAAAGGGAGGTGCAGAAGAGTATAATAAAATAAGGTCCTCGAAGTTTTCGCATCAGGATGTCGGTAAAATTTATACGAAAGGTAAAGCAGCAATCCATTGAGCGGAAGTGATGCCACTGCAAAAAACCATTCCGTTAGATCTGTGGAAGGTGCACCCAACGAGCAAAGTAATAAAAGAGCCACTGAATGCCTGCAATGTGCAGAAAAAAGTATTTGTAATCGCATTATTTCTATTAAAGAAAGGAGTAGAAGCCAACTATATTTTAGGACTGAGTAGTAATCGTTAAATTAGTGTTGGGAAAAATAACATTTGCATTAAAATTAGTAACCAAGCAGATTACACGGATTTACATTTAATTACAAAATATGCCTCTGCACAGTGTATTGAGAAATTTATGCCATAATCAACTAGCTTCTGCATAAAAAACTTATTTAGTAAAGTATAAATGAACAATTTTCGAATTGAAAAATTTTAGCGAGTCATTACTATCATGTAATTTCTGATGTATGCAGACAAAATTAGGAAACTTATTTCAGGTCAACTGCTTATGAAACTGTGAAAAATGACGGAACATAGCAATCAGTATTCCATAATTATACAAGCACAGTGAATAGTTAATTCAAACACAAAATATACACTTAAAAGTGTTAACTTTGTGCACTCTTTACCTACCTGAGAGAGGTCAAACGACAAAGCTTTTGATCAACTGCACACATGACCCGATAACCAGCTCGAGTGTAATCAGCACGTAGATTCCAACTTAATGCATTAAAGTGTGGAAACTGCCAGCAATACAATAGAGAGGCCAACACTAACGATGCAGGTCCAATAGATCCCGTTGCACCTGCATAGCCCATCAAAGGTGGCAAAGCACCTACCACTGCTCCGACCCATGTGCATCCTACGCTATAACGTTTCATTGGAGTATATACGCCTGAAAACAAGTCATAAAAAAGGGAAATATGAAGTTAAAAAGCATTTAATTTAAAAATAATCCATCAAATGTTAAAGCCCTTGAATGATTTTGACAAAATCGAAATGTCATTTCATTTGTAAAAAAGTGGAGATGTGAACAAAACCTAGGAAAAATTAATCACAAGATTTCCAATTATGACTGTTAATTTTTCGCTCCAATACTGCAAGCGATAATATTCATGCTTAAAATTTAGAGCAATAAACTGCTGTAGTTGAAGATGCAAATTCATACTCAAAAATTATGGTGAATGAAGGATATGTAACCTGTGTACAAAAACGCATTTAGTAACCCAATGCCTGATGTTAATGGATTACAACCAATCCAGAGTGTCGTAACTCCAACTGCTGCTGCCAATATTGCAAAGCTAACAGCATGAATGACTGGAAATCTAAATTTTTTCATGATGAACTTGTAGACACGAACAAAGCATATTATGAAATAATCTCTAACATCCCAAAATTCAATTACTTTTATCTATAACGTTTTTAATACATTTGAAATATGGTAAAACTTTCTGTAGAGTTTACGACATACAAATGAGAACAAACATATATTGTGACTTGAATAAATGTATTTGTTCCCATGACATTAGCTTTGAAAGTAGTTTTTTTAGTAATTAAACAAGCCTGTGAATAACTAGCAATCGACTTTGAGTCCTTTTCATTTGTGCATCATATGGTATTTCTAGTAAATGATTGAAAGTGTTTGCAGATGCACTCAACAGTGCAGTACCCGAAGAACATGCCAATAATGAAGTCAGAGAGAAATCAACTGGAGCCATGATAAAACCAGTAATAGCTGTCACAGTTACCATTGCTGTAAGCCTTGCTTTTGAGAGCTAAAAGACTGAGACAAAAATAAAATACTTACTATAAGAAAATATGTAAAATTAAGCATTTGTACAACATGAATTTCATAGAGAACTTAAACTTTCCCATGAAACACACTGAAATTGGCTGCGTTGAATTACTGTATTATTTTGTATCATATCAAAATCAGCATAATAAACAAATTAGACGCACGCAATGTAAACTTACTTGTAAATACGACTTAAAAAGGCCACTGTTTTCCATTAAATACCATCCATCTTCAGGAGAAGGTCTGATCACTAACTTCAGTCGGTTTTCGACACTTTTTGGTTCTTTGGCTTTTGCAAAACCTAACGAGATTCTGTTTCTTACCACGCTTGGTTTGGGTAAAGCTGCTGAGCTACGTTTCCAATTAATAGTTGATATATGTGAACCACACAGTCGAAACATCACATGACATGGCAACAGCATTACCTGAACTAAGCGTCAAAACTACTACCGATTGTATTTTCTAATTTTTTCGAGATTCTCAACGGAAAAGTGAAGTGAAAAGTAAAGAGGTGTAGAGGGAAGTAAAAAGAATGAATGCTGTGAAGTGTAAATGTTGTATGAAAGAAAAATACTATAATTAAAATAGTAGCAAATAAGAGAGACTTAAAAGCATACATACTAAATTACTTGACATTTGACATTACGAATACTCAAATTAATAAATCAACTACAAATGTATGCATAAAAGTTATTGGTTAGTTTTTGTGTATTTTAAGGTTGGACGTTGTTGCACTAAATGCATCACACATTTATTTATTTATAAACGGATTGTAAGTGCTGGAAGCAGGAGTTTAGTTGCATATTGTCGTGCAGAGTGTACTCTGTGCTGTAGATTTGATTTCAAAAAATGGCACAAATGATGTTTGATCATCTGAATGATTTAAATATTTCAAATTTAGCATTTGGATTAATTTTGCTCAATTTGTGATTTATTAATATGCAATGTCTTCATTTTTTGTTGTAATTTATTTTCAGTCTATGCTAAGTTTATTTTATTTTATTTTTTATTTGATCAATTATTGCATAGACTTTTTTTTTAGTACTAAAAAAATATCAAATGCATAATGGCTACTGAAACAAAGATTCGTGATGTTATCTGCCTGAAAGGTTCAGCACAAATTGTTCAGGAATTCTTCCGTGGGTTTTTTTTTTATTGTTGTTAATCGTATTTTTTATTATTATTTTTCATAGTATGCATTTTATGTTAAATTTCAAAATTGCTACCAAATTAGTACTAATGATGACAAATTCTATTCTTACTTTTAATTAATAATAAGATTTTTTTGTAAAATTTAATGAGAAATTTATAGAACTATGCTTTTATTGTTATAGACTTTGGGCTTAATAGTATTCTGTATCAGCGCGGCATATACCCTGCCGAATCTTTTGCAAAGGAGAAGAAGTATGGGTTAACTATGCTAGTTACTACAAATCCCGCGCTGCAGAAATTCTTAACACCACTACTTGACCGAGTAAAATGTATTACTTTCCATAGATTTTCATGGAATCTATTTAATAGGTTAATAGATCGACTACAAAGTATACGCGTAAAAAATTAATAGCATTATTTCACGTGTTTCTTTACTCCCATTAATTATTTTTTTTTAAACAGTGCATTGATAGATAGATTTAATTTTAGCTTTTTTTCAGTGTTTTTGTTTCTGAATGAATTAATGCCTCCTATTTCGTCTTTTTCTTTTTTCTCGTTTAAAAAATTAAGATTGAGTCCAAAAATTAAATTAACTTTTGTATGAAACATATCATCTGTTAGAATGTTTTTGAAAAGTTCATTTGAAACACCTAAACAAGCTTAGTACTGCTGATCTAAACAGTCTTATTTTGTGTTATTGATAAAATTTTTTATTTTCAATAGTTTATGTAACAGTGGACTATACTAATAATTGTAAAAAGCTTTCCTACTAATGGATAACTATGATCAACTTGCTTTTCCAAATTGATCTTTTTTGCTTTAGATTGGTTAGAAAACAAGCAGCTGAGGAAACTCGTTTTGGTGATATCGGACATTCAAACTAAAAATATATTGGAACGTTGGCAATTTGACATCCAGACAGACGAAACTGTAGATCTTACTGGGTATTCTTTGTCCATTACAATGTCTTTAAGTGGAAAATTCTGAAAGGAAATCCAGTAATTGAAAGTTTGGATCGTTTTATTTTTTCTTCTGATCATCCAAAAATGTACCTCTATAATAATTTACTAGGCTAAAGAAAGTGTTATTGGTCAGTGATCTGATTTGCCATAGCACGCTCATTCCTAATGATATCTTTCTTATTTCAGTGAAAATTCGGTCAAGTACAAAGATATAAAAAAGATTAGGCAGGAGATAGCAGATGTGATCAGGTAGTTTTTAATCAACAATGAGTAATGAAACGTATAAAAAGAAATTTAATCCATATATATATGTTAATAATTTTTAACTTTCATTACCTTATATAATCTTTTTCACTTTCCAGACAAATAACAGCCACTGTAACATTTTTACCGTTACTAGAAACTCAGTGTTCATTTGATGTGCTCACTTATACGGGTAAAGAAACAGATACGCCGGAGGATTGGACTGAATGTAGTGCTTGTCTTATCAGTGATGCAGAAGAAGTGCAGTTGCGCTCTTTTTCAACTGCTGTACATTCAGTTCATACAAAAGTTTCTTACAAATCTATTTCTTAATTTTTCGATTTTCCTCCATTGTGTGAAAATTTAATGTCATTTATGAATGGGCACTTTTATGAAGTTTATACTGATATTTAAATATTGTAAATTAATTTCTGATAAAAATTTTCAATGGTATAACCTTGTCGCTGTTGCGTAATGAGTTGATTTTTGGAAGATTATGCTGAATTTATGTCGGTTTTGAAATTTTCAGTAAATTGCAAAAGCCTTAGAGATCCTGCATAAACTGTAATTGGTATTATCCCATTGTTCAACTTGTATGAAGTGTGTAGTTTTCACATTCGCTATTATTTAGGCGATTATTATATTTTTAGCGTTGTCGAGCTATAAGTGGAAGTGATTGCTGATTTTCATTTTACCATCTGTCTTGTTTGTTTTTGATGATAACTTATGCTTTATTTAAGATGCAATATTTTTAATGATTTGGAAAATATACGTCATTGTATGTTCACCAAGAATTAAATTTTCTTCTTGCGCTTAAAAAAAATTTTTTTTTTGAAATTCGATCTCAAAATGTTGGTCACAACATCTAATTGATCTTCAAATTTTTCTCAGTACAAATCTGAAATACATTAATTATTTGATGTAATGCGAAGCAGTTTATATTAATTATATATATCAATAACGCGGGAAAGAAGACTAACCTCCATGTTTTCGTTTCTTTCATGTATATTTATATTTGTATTTATATATGAGTAATGCAACCAGATTTTCGAAGTATGAATTCAAAAATTCAGTCTTTTGTTTTTTGCTAATATCGTTTCATTTCACTTATATTCCCTATCTGAAATTCGGAAACTCCATTGCTTGAGAAACTTTTTTAGTTGCTCTTTTACATTTGGTTAAGTTCATTTACCGGAGTAAATTCTGTTGGTAGTGGTAGGGCAAAATGTTATAATATTGATATTGAGAATCAAATACTTGATTCATTGACATTGTGAGAAAGTATGATTAGTCGTAGCCACGTGCGGCAAATGTCAAAATTCATCAGTCAAGTTTTCATTTTAAAGGCGATTTTTGTTTTAGGATGTGTACTGTTTTAAGTCGTATCCAATCAGGTTTTAGGCCGCAAGATCATGGTCTACCTGATGATTTCTTGTTGACGAAATTAACGCAAATGAAAGGTTGTGGTTGCAAGGTACCAAGAGAGGTAAGTTTTTAACTATTCTTTATAACTTTGCGTACTTGTAATTTATACTATGATAAGCAGTTCATCATTTTCCCCTTATTCTTAATAAAATCACGTGTCCCACTGTTTCTGTCGGTTTATTCTTTATATTTAGTAATTAGGTAGTCTAGATTTCGTTTATGTTAAGGTAATTAGAATTGGTTCATTTTTTTAAGGAAATCAAGATTAATTATTATTTTGTTCTCAAGAATATCGTAGTTAGTGGACTCAGTTGCTTGGTATTTTTTGTTTTGCAATGTGCCATTCTAATATGGAAGAATATTTTTAGATCCTATTGAAATTATTGGATGATTTGAGAACCGATGGAAAAGGCGATGAAATAGGTCCATCTTATGATCTATATTAGTTTCGTATTTTCTTCCAATTTTGCATCTCAAAATTTCATCATTTCCTGCATTATTTATTCTAGGTATTGGCTTAGATAGCTGCGTGGTTCCTCTGCGACACAAAAATCTCTTTCTTATTCAAACTACTGATTTTTTCTATCCGCTTGTTGATGATCCTTATCTGATGGTATTATTCACTGAGCAATTCCTCTCACTATTTTCAGCTACTACTTTAATGTATATTTTATTATATTTAGGGTAGAATTACTTGTGCTAATGTTCTGAGCGATTTATATGCAATGGGTGTAGTTGACTGTGATAATATGTTAATTTTGCTGGGAGTACCTCGAGACATAAGCGACAAAGAACGAGACGTTGTCGTGTCGAACTTTTTCAGTGGCTTCAAGGTACATCCTGACGACTACTAAAAATTTATAATTCTTTTGAAATTATCAAAATTATAAGCATTAGTGAATTACAAGCTTGTAATGCACACATCTATGTGTAAATATATCCAGTCTGCTGCAATAGAAGCTGAAACAACTATCAGAGGTGGTCAAACGGTACGTTGCCCGTGGTTATTGTTAGGAGGAGTAGCTACAAGTGTGTGCACCAGTAATGAAATGGCTGTGATTAATGCGGCTCGCCCTGGTGACGTTATTCTTCTTACCAAAGTAACTTCTTGGACTAATTTCTAATTTACACAAACTCCAAAAAATCAAATTCTTCGTCCTGAATCTTGGTATTTTTTAGCTTCGAATTTGCAATTACTGAACTTCCTAACACATTTCTCTTCCTCATTATTGTTTATATTGATTGGAGTAACATGATCAATGCATTAAAAAACTCTCTGCATCAGCAATCTAGAAGTTAATCTATTTTAGGTTTGAAGTTTCTGAATCCTGGTAAAATACTCCCTTTTCAAGTACACTGTTCAGATTCTCACCAAATCAGTTGCTCGTACACTTGGAAATTCATAATAAATGAGCTGCGTAAATAATTTCTAAAAGTTTGTAGCCTCTTGGTGGTCAAGTTGCTGTGAATTCTTATGACTGGCTAAAGAAGAAAGATCCCCGCGTGGAGGAATTAAAACTGGACAAAGAAAAAATAGTTGCTGCATATCAACAAGTTGTTGAACAAATGTGTCGTTTAAACAGAAATGCTGCGCGTATGCTCTTGAAATACAGCAGCCATGCTTCTACCGATGTGACCGGTTTTGGAATTCTAGGTTACTAATTCCTATTTTTGTGTATACTTCAAGTGTTGTGTTATGATTTCTGGATTTACTAGACTTGATTCTTTGGAAAGTTATTGAGGGATATTTTTCCAGGACATGCGGACAATCTAGCAAAAGCTCAGAAAGCAGAAGTTCGGTTTGTCATTCATACTTTACCTATAATTGATTATATGGCCGAAATCTCTAAACTGATGGGCAATGGGTTCAACCTATTTTCTGGAACATCTGCAGAGACATCAGGCGGTCTTCTTATTGTCATTGAAAAAGAAAAGGTAACTTTATATTAGTTCTGAGATATATGCGTGAGAAAATACCATAACTTAGCATACAAAAAAATACTCCAATTTAGGCACAACTACTTCTCACGGAACTACAACAAATAGAGGGATTTCCTGCGTGGCTAATTGGTGACGTCATCTGTGGTCCACGTGGCGCAGTTATTGATAATGATGTCAAAATCATTTCCGTACCCTCATCGATAAACCAACTATAATAACTATTGTCCCAAATTTCCTCATTCATTTATGTTGAAGTTTGCTAGAAATTCTTATTTAATAATCAAATACATTAACATACAAATTTACGTATAAAAGTGAATGAAATTGTTTATTAGTAGAGATAACTAGCAACAACTACTATGAACTTATAAATCCTTTTCGCGTTCGATCTTGAGCAGTTCGATGTCGAATTTCAAGGTTGCATCAGCTAAAATATGAAATGATGAAGCCATGATTAGTTACTAATCTATTGTGCTGCGACTATTTAAACTTACGTGGAATTTTGGGAGGAGAACCGGAGCTCCCGTAAGCAAGATCAGAAGGGATTGTAAGCCGACGTTGTTCACCTTCGCACATATTTAGTAATCCTTGATCCCATCCCTTTAAATGCGAGGTAAAATTCAACAAAAATTCAGTAATGCACCTTTTTAAAGTCAACCATTCTCAAAAAAAAATCTTCTGAAGTTATGGAATTAAAGTCCCTTCTCGACTAAAAATCTTAAATGTTTTTGTATGCCCAATGTACGTCCTCAAATTGAATGTTTCGCGTTATATTTTGCAATTATAATATTTTATTATCTAGATAAAACCAATTTATATTGCACTATATATGCAGTATATGAAAGCCCTATATAAACAGCAATAATGCTCATACGAGTTTTTTTCTGTGAGAGAGAAGAAAAATATGGATGGTAGCTCTATTAACATGTTCTACCTTTTTAAAGTACAGGATAAGAATTACTGAGTATTTTAAAAATACTGACCTTAATAACCTGACCCATGCCAAGAGTGAACACAAATGGCTTATTGCGCGTTTTACTGCTATCAAATTCAGTACTGTCTTCTAATGTACCCTGAACAATAAAAATTGCAAAAACTAACAGAATCAAAAATATCACTCAAAAAAACGAAATTACAGCACTAACCACGTAGTGGACGCTAAGAGTATCCCCTTTTTTTGACCTCATCTCACAGTTGTCAACGCGCTTCTTTACACCGATTTGTAAACGTGCAGATTTTTTGTCTTCACAATGAACCAAGGCGAACAGAGAGAGTAAGAGTACCAGTGCAGACTTCATTTTTGCAAGCTGCAGTTACATGAAATCAGTATTACTTCAACATTAAAAAGATATACATATTACTTTAACATTAAAAAGATAAGGCGTTTTATTTCAACACTGGATGCATTGTAGAATATTAGCAAGCTGATATTTACTATTTATTTATTAAATCAAGCGATGCACAACTATAAGTTGAGAGATAGATCGAACTGGTGTCCGAAAAACAAAAAGGTACGGAAGAGGCCAAAAACACTAAGGTACAACAATTAGTCTCATGAATATGACTGATACTTGGAAAACTAATTCACGATTTTCCAGAACTGCATGATCTCTTTACTTTGACAAGTGTATTCTTTATTTTTGTCAGAAAACATTTATTAAAATAAAGAGATGACACTCGTTGACAACTGACAATGTGCAAAGTAAAGCAAGCGATGTAAGAATAATAAAAGTATACACAGTATATTTCTCTTCTTGAATATGCATAATATAATTGACAACTGTTTCTTTCATCAACAGCACAAACTGCTTCCAGACAAAAAGTATCATATGCATAATTTTCATGACCATGTTGTGGCGTTCAAGACTGTAGAATCAAAATAAGGCTCTTTAGTAATAATTAATAAAAAGGAATACGATGACATTTAGAGGAATTTCAAAGCAATGGGACATTACAAATGAAGTAAAAACATTTTTCATTAAAAATGCGTTAACACAGAATTGATTTCTAAAAGGAATTTTTTTCGGAATTTTTGAACCTTAGATGCATAAAAATATCAATAGGCAGTCTTTGCATTATTTCGTTTGACAATTTTAAATTAGATAAATTTTAAGATAAAATTCACCGAAATTTCTTACTCGATAAGATAAAGGATGCCAAAATTTTTTTATTAAATCCAATTTCGTTCCCATTATGAAAATCAAGTAATGAATGCACTGTTCCATAAAAAATATGAAAACTAAGCAACAATTTGAATATAATTAATGCTGAAGAGATGGAGAAGAATGAGGGTAAATTAATAGACCACACATCAGTCGAGATCGCAATATATCAAATCGAGCAAAGTAAATCAGAAATTAGTTCACTGATAGTTTAATGACTTTTGAGATTTTTGGCTCGTTCGTTGTATGCCTGCAAATTATATATGTTTCATGTACTAGGTCAATAACAATTTTTGTTTATTAACTAATAACGATGAGAAAGCTTTAATAAGAATTTTTATTAATATAAACTGTGTCAAAAAAATTTACAAGTCTCTCTGATTCCGGAAGTGATTTCCAAACAATTGCCAATTCCTTAATGATGTCTTGCTGCTTTTTACTAGGATCTGCAATTCCTTTAATAGCTTTTTCTTTCACAAAGAGCATCCAACCTGATATTGTTCGTTGGCTGTCACATTCTCGCTCCTATAATTAAAGCGCACAACTATTATCAAAACTGCTCAACTTCATACATGAAAAAACATGCCTTTCTCCTTTCCAAGCGTATTTTCCGTTTTAAACGGGCTTCCTTCGAAGCTTGAGCACGTTTAAAAAGTTCCTCCTTTTCCCCATCACTCAAAGATTCGAATTCCAATTTTTTCTCCTCATTCAGTTGCACCGCTTTATCGACATATTTCTACAACTGCATTCGTTGAGTGAATATATACCTAATTGTTTCTAAATTAAATACTAATTCCCTTCTAGAAAAAGCGCAAGGTCAAATGATAAGAACGTGCTTCATTAAATTACGTAACAAAATTAAAGACGACGCGAAAAAACAACAGCAAGATTTCTAAAAACTAATGGAAAATAATAATGCTTTTCTTTCATAGAATACAGCAGGAATGTGCAGTTATAATTAAGAGAGTTTTAAACACAAACAGCGTGTACGAGAGGCTTAAAAAATAAAAATTCTTTGAGGAATGTAATATGTGAGATGCTCCATACAAATATGCTAGATTTCTTTTTTGTACCTTCTATATACAAAACAAAGAGAAACCTTCTTTTCATCATCACCCAAATTCCTCCACTGTTTTGTAAGATTAACGAAAATTTGGGTAGGAACTTCATTTTTTCCTAATGCGAAATTTTCTTTTACAAATAAATTAAATGGTGTTGTCCTGCCAAAACCAGGAGGAAGACGTTCAAACTTTACAGAAGATCCATTTGCGTTCATAGATACATAAGACCTGAAACAAATTTTTTATAATTCAATGTTCAGAAAGGACTGAATTTTTAAAACTCACATTCCAGACAATCAACTTTTATTTTTAAAATTTACTTTTCAAAGATAATAAATACCTGGTAGTTGAAACTCTGCCAACCAAAGAAGCGCGACATAAATTGTTTCTTAATAAAAGCATGAGTAGGCAAGCTGTTTAGCCCCTCAGAATATTACAATCACAGTTCGTGTGAACTGCTGAAAAAACAAAATATGCTGACATTTGTTAGAATAAAACTTTATTTAGGTCAACACTGACAACAATAACCAGAAAAAACTTGCAACGTGTGGGAAGCATAAAAATATTACAAATTTTTCCGACACAATTTGATGCCAAAAATCCCTGGATTTCTTATCAGATGAAAACTTCAAATTCTAATATGGATACAAGCTATACCAAAAAAAGGAAATTTATCTACGTGAGGCTGCCACAGTACACTTTCTACAAACCATGAGATAGACAACTAGATGACAATATCCGAAACTTATAAGAGCCGAAAGTCCTAGTATACATAAAATTAATATTTTTCTAGTCTTTAAAACTAGAGAACTTCTGTGAAATCACACATAACACCAGGTCATTAGTAATGTAGAACATCATTAATGTCTTGTCTCGAAGAACGAAGACCCCTATAAGATACATGCTTTGACAGTAACACCACCTGATTTTGCGTTATTTTTCATTGACAAATCACGACTTTACACCTAATATCCTTCTTATTACAGTGGTTCGATCTCTAAATGCTAAAAATACAAGTGTGAAGCCAAATGTGAAATTTGAGATGGGAATAAAAAGTACTTATTACAATAATTAATGAGAGATACTTTTTGCAAGTTTTCTATTTCAAAATTTTATTTATTGAGTGAAATCCATAACTTGTTCGAAAAATTTAACGTTTAAACTCTGAACTGTAGCAATGATTAAACTAGAGAATTCGCAGTTTGATGAGTGATGGATTAATATGATGACAAGTTATTGATTGTTATAGTTCTGTACAGAGAGGGTATGGACAACGTAATTGTCGTCAACCCATGCGGATAGATGACTGCAATTTCATTAATAAAATGTGAGTGCTAATACATCTCATCTCTTCCCGCATTAATTTTATGAACAAGTTTCGAATGACTGCACACAGCGCATTGAAAATTCAATCTCCCATCATACAATGTAAAAATGGAAAAGGCACTTAACATACTGTAGCACAATTCGTCTCAGTCAATTTGAGTACTGCTTTTAGCATGCTCTAATACTCACACAAACACTGTTGACATCTCCTCCTCAGTCCATATTTTCATTATCTCACCACATAATTTATAAACGAGATTAGATGCTATTTTCGAAAAATAGATGATAATGCAGTTAGTTGGTCATCAGATAATCTAACTACTGATAATCTAATCCATTTGTACTACGTGAACAAAATGACTCACAAAACTAATATTGTGCCCCGTTTATCTCAGTAATTATGGATTTATGCTATCAGAAAGTTTACTACATACAACCAGATAAGACTGATTTCACTACCTTTAGTGAAAAACACATCACTAATTCTCGTATAATACTTTCATATCTAATTGTCCATATATTAACGATTACCACACAAACCAAACACAATAGTCTACAACAACCACACTCACTTGCACAAAGGTTATATGAATAAACGCTACAATGGTGATATTATATACTATCAACAAGCCAATATGAAGCTGTGCTACGCTGATAGGGTCTCCTTGCAACAGCAATGTAACAGTGCTGTAAATTTTAATTCATGGAATATATTGTTTGAGGTATGATTGCTATTCTTCATGCCTTTGTTCGCTTTTTAAGCACTCTTTGAAGTCATTTTTAATTAAGCACTGCTGTTTACAGTATTATCATACAAGCGCCATAAGAAACATACGAAATGACTGTTCAGCGAACAGTATGAGCAAGAAAGCAAGCAACAACTCATCTGCCTTAAAGAACAAAATATGGTTGATGAATAAAATTATGACTTGTTTGGAAGAAGCATTTGGAACAGATTTACTGTTAGACAATCTGTCATGTGTATAATAATCAGAATAACGGTAAAATAAATTAAAAGATTACGTGAGATGTTACTTATTAAATAGTCTTTTATTACTTCCTACCTCCTACTTCAATATTTGCAACCATTTGACAAATAATGCGACAGAAAAAAAGCAAAGTAAAAAGTTTACTACCACCCGGTGTATAATAGCAATGCTTTCTTTCCATTGTTGCTGATTAGTTGATGTGTTGCTGAACTAAGATATTCATGAAATCAACAAGAACAGAATGAAAGAAAGTTTAGTTCAGACAAATATACGAATTTATTGTAAAGATTTTACATTTACAATTAAGTGACACTTGAAATATGAGGTTGTGAAAAAGGGCAGTTGATACAAGCGGGGATATTTTTTATAAATACGTTTAAATTTTGATTTGCGCAAGAAGTCTGATGCAGTTACATTACATTATTCAGCTTCTGAGTGCAATTATTAAATAATTTTGAATAATATTACTTAGATTTGGGAATAATTGCTTAATTGAGCGTTGCCTACATTTTCTGTGTGGTAATTAAGATGAAACTTTGATTTTACGTATATAAACAGGCAATATCATGGGAGTATGTGAAATTTATGATAATAATTTGTAGTAATTAGAATACATTACAAATGGATATTCCAAAATTTTTTTGAAGTAAATATCACCTATATTGAATAATGCGATTTCCTTACAATTGAAAAATATGTAACAATAGGGATCATTCATCATATACTTTAATTATTCTGTAATCAATTTCCAAACTCGATGTCGAATGGGATTTCAAACATAGTTATTTTTTGACTTTTATTGTTTGTTATTTTTTGATTATTGGACCATGGAATAATTAGTAGGCCAGTAAGTGATTATTTTAAGTAAATGTTTTAAATGATATGCGTGTTGGTTTAATGCACGAATACCAATAGAAAATGATCGAATGTTTCAGCCTCTTGAATATTTCTGAAGGACTTTTTAATTCATATACGAAAATAAAAGTATTTTGGAAGGAATCAGTAATACTGAAGGATTATTGTTGAGAAGTGAGCCATCAACAAGTTTTGATTGGACAAACGTTTGCTGAAGTGGGCGGGCCAGGAGATGATTGAAGGATGAGGTAGAAATGGACTAGTTGGCCTGGACGGATGGTACTGAACGAGTTGCTTCTGCTTTTCCTTCCTCTCGGAACTAACGCTTATATTTCGGAATCATGGGCAATGCTTACTTCTGATCGGCCTTCCTCACCTAAATGCGTGGACATACCCAGAAATCTAACGCTTTGTTATGGTATACAAGTAAGCATGAGTAACAAACACATAAACGATTCATTTATATATTTTACTAAAAATCAACTTTAACTTCCAATGAATAAACTCCAAAACTGTTGGTAACAGTTGATGATCAACAAAAAACAAATTCTCATTTAATTTACTTGCTTATCCATCTAATCTACGGCATTGATATCATACTGTTCATGCAGTATTTTCATCATTAATTGTATACTTATTTAAGTACTCAACAATGCGATTACCCAATCTTTTGGAGCATGAAACAGTAGATGAGGTGATTGAACAAGCAGCTCCTTGGATACCACTACATCGACTAAACTGCCATCCTGACACTCAGGTAAATGTGGTTTCTAATCAGCTATTATGAATGAAGGAAGCTGACTACCAATAAGGTAAGTAAGCACTGTATTGCTAGTCTGATCATGTATTTTCCAGCTCTTTCTGTGTTCGTTGTTTGCTCCAGTTTGCTTGCCGACTATGGATCGCGAAATTTTACCCTGTCAATCGCTTTGTTCTGCTGTCCAAAAGGTCTACTTCGTTACCGCCATTGAATTCATAAATGAGATAATAAAAACTAAATGAAATATAGGTAGATAGTTTGGATGGATATAATATTTGCAGGGATGTGAAAGCCGAATGCGTCAGTACGGTTTTCCTTGGCCAGATATGCTATCGTGCAATAAGTATCCGAAGGACAACGACATGTGCATCGGTCCTGTTTCTGAGAAGGCCACAAGTGCGTCTTCTTTCATTTGTCAACTTAGTCTGCGTCGCATCACTCATCACTTTACTCTTCTTTTACTGGTAAATGCTAGGAAATGCGTGAATGGGAGTTTGCATGGTTTCTATCTATCGGGGAAGGTTGAAAATCAGGGTTATGGGTTAGCACTGGATTGCTTGGTAGCAGCAAAGTGGCAACAGGCATAATCTCACCAAGGGTGCCGCAAGTCGACGAGCTGTCAGGCGGCTTTCTTTCATCGGTTGCCGATTGACATTTCAAGTCATCATATTTGCAGACCTCAACGATACCTGTTCATCGTGCAGACAGGTCGGTACATACGAGAATATCCTCGATCATTACTGCCGATCTCAAATAGGTTTCTATTTCACATTCTTTCACTTCTTGCCGTCCATTCCATTTGCTTAGCTTCCGTGGCGTAAGCTTCGTGCTCACTCTCTCATGAACTGCTTCTTGAATTTAACATTCCTTTTCCACGTAGCTTATGTGTGCGTTCCTTATCAGTTATCCATCAAAGCTAGCCGCTGTGCTGCTCAAAAACGAAGCATCGAAAAGATGACCTTTCCAAAACAAACAAGAGAAAATCATAAGTTAATAGAATGAAATTTAATTTCTTAATTTTACACAGAGTACTAATATCTGTTTACATCACATGATATGTAAGTTGATTCCTTTGAGATGATGAGTTAGTCTAAAGAATAAATTACAAAAATCTAACTTTGCTTATTTATCAACCATGTGTTGCAGTAGTGAAGGTGCGCATCGCAGGTATCAATAAATCATACGTAAGTGTGCGAAAGGCGCGTTCACTAAAAAAATCTGATCGACGCAGGTCTCTTTTTCTTCTCGCCTGCTGCTGATCTTACTGTAAAACTATTCTTAATTTCAAAACACAACTGAAAATACTGAAGCGTTTGCAAAGAAAAGTGGTTTTACACACGTTCAAATTGCAATGTATCTCCATCACCAGAAATTTATTAAAATGCTCTAATTATTAATGCACTTAACAACATCCATTTTTCCTCATAAATAATAAAGTTAACTTTTTTAAGTGAATATTTCATCAACTAGTCAGATATCTCACTGCATTAAAAAATATTGATGAGATAACAAAAATTAATTATTGTGATAACAGGACAGAAATTATTGACTAATATAATTAAAGCAGTGCGCATGAAAGTAGGAAAAGAATAAAAACAGTATTAATTATAAGTACTACCAGTCAACTTTATTAGATAAGTTATGAATTGAGCACATCACAAGAAGCTTTGAGATATTAAACTTAATACAGTTATTCTAACTGCAGTTCCTAAATTTTTTAACTCCACCAGCTATTTTTCATGCACCAATTCAATGACATTCAAAGAATTGCAATATATCATTTAGAATTAACTATAAATCTGCTTCTTTCTGCTTCAGTTTGATGAAAAAGTACTGCTGCATATGCGAAAAAAACATATCTTTCAGGTCTGTGGGCCGAAATACGGTCATTCATTTCTCTGCCAATCGCGCTTGCCCTTGCCATTTAGGTGGTACAGGAGATCATCGCTTCCTCATTATGGCTGACCAAAATGATAGAGGCGATTTCATTGCAAATTTGATACTGCCGTGGAAAAATACTGACAAGGTTAAGGATCTTATGAAAGTTTAAAAGGTTGTTGTGAAGGTTAAAGATGTTTAGAGTATGTATTCTTGTCAATGAGACTTTCTCAAAATATAGTGCTTTCAAAATTTTATTCAAAAAAGGTTAGGTTTATGAAGTATGCTGGCTACTAATTTTTAACCTTATTTATTTTCAGCCATTTAAGAGAGCTATTCGAAGCTTTCGCAAATTGAATTGTCAGTCACTGGGAAGAGAAATAAGAGAAAGTGCTTATCGTCGCAGTCTTTATCGTAAAAATTTCTAAACTTGCTAATTTTCAATAAACATGAATAGATCACTAAAAGATTTTCGTTTATTATAGTAGTGAACTTTTCACTAATTTACAAATTTATTACAACCAAATATGAATAACTTTGAGAGCTAACTAGGGTAAGCATTTATTGCTTTTGTGTGTTCCATATCGCTACAATGCTTATTGTAATTATAGAAATCGGGTTTAAAAAAAATAGCAAACCTGTGCTTCATGATTATTCTGTCTTTAATAATAAATTAAAAATGTTGAGAAGATCACTAAGTGAAAGGATTCAGTCTGATTCTGACTTCCTAATTTAACATGTTTGTCCATGTAATTGAGAAGTTTTCATTGGTGTTTAGATTATTGCATATATGTAAACTGTACACATATAAATTAGCATTTAATAAGAAATATGCATCGTGTATGATTATCATATTTGCGTAATGCATCTAATAACACTAATTTTGCAATATTTATAAGAACATTTACCCTTTTCCCTTATTTTCAATATTTCTAGCGTTCTCTTTAGATGAAAAAACTGAAGTTGAATGCATAAGAAAAGTCGACCATAATTAAAAACTACTAGTCAGAAGTAATAGTAACCAAAATAGTAGGTAGTGTCAGCTTTTAATTTGCAATTATGGTATTCTTATGGACATAGCTTCATAACATGAGTAGTCTTTCAATATCTCCTTGTTATTTCGAAAAAAAAGAAAAAAAAAATGAAATTTCACTGTTCCAAATAGCGCGTTTTTTGGGAAGAAACTGCGCCGAAATTTCGTTTTTTTACTATCTGACAGTTATATTATTAACTAATGAATTTTTAATGTTTGATAATAGGAAACAAAATATTAGATGTTGCATGTCGAATTGTATTTGTATTGTTACAAGAAAAGCATATTAAGTACCCGTCTATATCTTAATCTATTGCTTCCATAAATTATTTAGTAATAAACACAAAAACTTATTTTTTACACTAAAACTATTAGTTAGATATGTATTAAATGAATAAGTATACATCTGAAAGCAAAATTTTCCGACAACTTCACTTTTTTAATAATTCATTCCTTACCTATCGAATTCATGAAAATCATACAATCGAGTACAAATCTCGCACGATCACTGCTCTGTTGATTGTGTTAACAAATAATATTCGCAGAAAAATAATTCAATTCTATTTTAATAAACTAATACAGTCTCACAACACATACAATGCTGCATTTGACGATGGTTTCATTTCAACTACAATAATTGCATGTACTAGAAAAAACTTATAAAAGTTAGATAATTACAGCACTAAGAAAAAACTTTCGCTTTGAGATGGTGTTAACCTTTTCAAATATGAAAAATGAAATCTGCGAATGTCATACCAAACTTTTAAATTGTTCACTTCAATTTGCGCATGCAATGCTGATAACTTCATTACATTCCAATACATACAAAGTTTTAGCATTATTATCACAGCTTAAAATGAATGCTATTCAAGCAAAAAATGAGATGAAAATGTTAGGCGGTACCATTGATGTGATTTTATTGATGTGCATGTAAAATATTCATGCTGAAAGACGATTGCTGGACGATATTATTCACCAAATATTTTCTAAAAAAAGCAAAGCAAAGCTGACATAAAAGTGGGGAAATATTACTTCTGAGCAGTAGACTGAGAGAGATTTTTTGAAACTTGACGTACTTTGAACTGATAGACAAATTTTTTGCGCAGTGACATATTTCAAAGTTAAGATGACTCTATAAATTTAATTCCATCAATTCGTCAAAGATCATAAATGATACATCAGAATCAAACTAATATCGTCATGCTGTAAATGCCATAATTTGAGAAGCTATCTCTCTCATTGTTTTACAATAAAAATCACAATTTGAAGTATTCTAAGCAAAGTTTCAACAATTCCTACCAATAGGCATTTCACGGTTGACTGACTGCTTAGTGCAGAATGCTGTGCAAACAAATAAGGACAAATAAAGCATCAATCAAAATTGACACATGAAATGCTGACTGATCGCGTGAGATGAGTATTCAAAACTTCATTTTCAAGCAGGTAATTCTTAAAACTATATATGAGTAATTCGACGGTAAGGTACTGTTATTAGCAGGTAAATATGTTTACCTTTCTATCTGCAATGTATTTTTAGAATTGTTGATAAAAATTGCTTATTGTTCCATAATCATGAATTTTATATTTTAATAAACTGAACACAGCAGAAAGATGATGTGTTTATAGGAAATTTCAGAATGTCATCCAACGATGAATGCAATGTTATTAAGGAGGCAGTTTCTTCTTCAGATAGCAATAGCAGTAATAGCTTTGCAATCACAATTTTGTCGGTTACCGGTCAGAAATGGAAGCAGAATATTACGTTATTAGAAACCATTGATACTTTAAAGGTTGAATTTTCTATAATTTTTCTTAATATAGCAAATATAGCGAAGCAGCCTTGCAAACCATTTTCTTTTTTTGGTGTTTAGCAATTTATATTAGATATGAAAGTAGTATCGAAAACTGTAATTCAGAAATTTTGCTTATGGTTTTTTAATTTGAAAGGATATGTTAATAAGTTATAAAGTACAGAAGAATATGTTAATAAGTTATAAAGTGGTTTTTTAATTTGAAAGAATATGTTAATAAGTTATAAAGTTCGTATTGCCTGCTTCTCTTGCAACCTCAGTTCACGTAATAATCTCGCCCTTAGCACACTCCAAATTTCATTTGTATGTGAAGAATCTTTAAATGTCTTTTAAAGATGATATTAACTTTGCAGGGAAGAATTTGGCGTCGAACAGGTCTTTTCCCTTACCATCAGGGTCTAATTTTTAACAACTTATCGCTATCAGAAATGTGTGGAGATACTTTGCTTAGTGAATTTGGTGTCCAACATAATTCACTTATACGTTTAGCCATTGTAACACGATCTGGGCCACTAGCAGTTCCAATCTCTCAAAAACTTTCAGCCGTTTCTTGTGGCAGTGAAGCAATACAGCTAATTTTTCTTACAAGCTTTTATACCACTATAATGTTAATATTTTTATGTAATACCATATTTATTACAAAGAATTTTTCACGATCTGAAAAAAAAAGCTTCTATCAGGTACTGTTATTTTCATAATTTCAGAAGTACGGGAGATTGGAAAAGATTACGTATGTTCGATGAGCAAAATTTGGATGAAAATCGGCGAACCCTGTTTAGAATGTGTGAGCTGCGAAGGCAGATAAAACACAGTGGTCTAGCAAGGCCAGTTGGATATGTTAGCGTATGATTTATGCTGTGATCAGTAAAATGAAAAAACCTACCATCATTTCATTTTTTGATAATATACAGTTTATAGAGCATTTTTTATTCTTGGAAAAGCAAAATGTAAAGGTTTTGTCTTACAACTCAATATGTTTGGTGATTAGCTTTAGTTTATTCTTGCAGACTACGGTCACTTTTTTTGTATCGGCATCAGTATATGTGTTTAGATATAGTTGAATCATATCTATATTCAGAATCGCACTATAAATTCGAACTCATATAGTGGACACTTTTAAAAACTGTTTCTATGTTTTCGGATTCAAGTAACGATAATATAATTTTTTTACCTTAAATCGTTTTGTGGAGATGAAAATTTTGAACTACTGATACAGTTTTAATCGTTTCAGTCTTTGCATTCCAGGAAAGACAGGGGTTTTCAGCTCCAGAAGATACGAGCGCGAAGGAAAGTTCAGCTGGTGATACAGAATGCGAGGAAGATAAAAACTGTTCTTGCAGTAACATTAGCTCTTTTTTTAAGGTCCTGTTTATGGAAGTGGTTCATAGACTATTGATTAATTGAACTAGCATTTAATATTTAATTCCTATGAAAACTCTTATCTAAAAAATTGTCTTTTAGAGTCCAGAAACTACATCGTTATCCGTATCGAAATTTGGAAATAAAAAAACTCGTTCAAATCCTGTTAAAGGTTGTTTTTTCCTCTAATTTTGTGAGTTATTAAGCGAGCTTAACATAGTTTTCATGTTTTACAGAAGTAGAAATAAATGGATGTGGTGAAGAATCTCTTAAAATTTCTACTCGCGAACAGCTACTCATGATGATGCATTCTCGCCCTCTTTCTCCTTCTACAGATGTGAATACTCAATCGGATGGTGGTTCTGAGTTCTCGTCAGGAATGATAGTTTGTGATCTCAGTAACGAATTCAGAAGGTATATTTCATGTAGTTCAGTCATGTTGATATTTTTGCTGTGGTTCGAGAAGTCATATGTAGTTGTATTTTTAGACTTTCGTTTTTCTGCTACTTGTTTCAAATTTCAGCTTGATATCAACTGCTCTTTTCTAGTCATTCTTTGTTTTCAACCCGGTTTTTCTAGATTGCGTGTTCGTCGTAAGCACCATGGTGTGAGTAATGGATCTACAGCAGTTCAACGCACTCGAGCTAGAAGCAAGCCAGGAGCTAATTTTTCTTTATGTCCTCACCGACAAAAAGTACATATTTGGTTCTTGTGTATCTTGTTCTATTAGTTTTTATTGGAATTTGAACACAGGATAGGTGAACTAAGAATTTGTTGAGTGCTTAGATAGAAATTTTTGATTGCACTCTGATTAATTCCTGTCTTGTTTTTAAATGTGGAATTCAGTCTTGAAAACTGTGGGATGTACTAGTTCTTAGGGAAGAAAAGTTGTTGATACTGTAATTGAATGGGACTTGTTTACTTCAAGGGCTCAGATCTGACTTCGAGTGATGATGAGCGTCCATATCGACGTGCAGCTGAACCGATGTCTTGTTCAGCTTACCGGCGGTCTACTGTTTCACGTACACAGAAAGTTCTTGTTGGGTATCAATCACACCAGCGATGTTCTGCATGTGCTATCAAGCTGAATAATTTTTCAGTTGCATTTCAGTGCAGGTAAACGAAATTCCTAGCTTCAGATTCATTGATCTAACTCGTGATATTTTCATGGTTTTTGCAGATGCGGCAAAACACTGTGCGCTAGACATCGTTCGGCTGAAATGCATACTTGTACTCGTATTCGTAAGTTGCAAGATGCTAGTGACTAAAAGAAGTAAGTATTTGAGAATGAAATCCATACACTGTAACAACAAGAAGATGATTTAGACTCACTAAATAGCACATTTCGAATCTCGCTATTCTTTATTACAGTACTATTTCATACAGTCATTAAGAGCTGTGTGCAAGCACTCAAACTCATGACCCATCTAGTAATGGTAAGTTTTGCGTTTTGCCGCCTCAGTAATTTAAGGAAGTTTTCTTTCAGGTTAGCATACAGGAATTGGCTATTAATATGGATTATTTTTCTTTATTTATGTAATTTCTTTTCTGTAACTGAAATCTGCTTCACGCCAACGGCTTACGTTTCTTCATTAAACTGTCAAAATTTTTTAGTACCAAATACGATTGAGCCGTTTTTAATGTTTTCAAAGTGCTTATTCAAGTGATTTATCTGTAATTTATACGGTAACATATGATCTCATGTAAAATTTTCATGAATCCGCACTGAAAGAATGAAATTACTGTTATATAAGTCTATTTAATTTGCTAAAAATTGTTTTTTTTTTAAGTTTTGGAAAGCATTAACTCTTGAAAACTATGAAGTTATATTTATTGAATTACATAGTACCGTTTTCTAGGCGTAGATAATTTTACATTTTCCTAGATGGAATGCAACGAACCCAAGTATATATTTAAATTAAGAAAGAATGTTTGAACTATTAGTTGTCACTCACAAATAAACCTTAACAGCGACTTTCTGTATTATTGTATCATCTTGTGGGATCATACTTCGATGCCAAATTACCATTTAAATAAACTTGTAAGGTTTCATGAATATTAACACAATGTAAACGATTCATTTACATAGTACTCTGGTCAGGGTTTTCAAATCATTTGTGTAATATTAACGAATTTGACTTTCATTGGGTATCATCTATGTTTCTGTGAGATCATAGATAAGCTTCGTTGGGTATGAAAGTGCGTTTATAGTTTGCTTGTAGTAAATATATGCTCTTCGATCGGGAAAATTTGTCTATGTTCGTAGGAAACATCAGATTTTGTTCCCACTCAAAAGTATGTCTGTCAGTTGTCATTCGGAAGTTCTACTTGCAAGTTCAGTGAAGTTCATTTATGCATTACCTTTGTACAGGAGTATCTGCGAGAGGACAGAAGTATTTGCAGTAGTTAACAGCCGATAATTTAGAGACTGCGAGAAATGTGTGAATCAGATCTGAGATATTAGTTCTTGGAAATGGTGGTTTATTCTGCTATTAATAAAGAGCAATCAGGATACTGGACTGAATTGTATACCGAAAGGTAAATTACTAAATGGATTTAATTACAAAAAGTACAGATACGTTTCCATTATTCCTTGGGGTTTAGAATCCGTAAGATCCACAGTGCTTAGTTAGTGTTAAAGTATTAAGTCTGAAAATCGAAGTGGGTAACATGTTCCGTCCCTGGAATGGCACTAAGAGAATAACAAGATGAATAGGAAGAATTCGTGGCTTAACTGAGTAATAATGGGGAAAGTTGCAGTGGCACTAAGATGCGAACAGAGTTTAATTTAGAAAAACTGCTATGGGTGGTTCTTTTAAGGTTGCTTGATTTCTTGTTAGTTTAGACACAAGTAATGGCAAGAAAAGGATGAGTGAAAGAGTTAGGAAATTTGGATGTTTTCCTTCAATCGATTAAATGCAAGCATATATATTTAGCGGATTTTACCAAGTACTCCAAAGAAGTGCCAGCAAATACTTTCTTTAGTCGTTTTCAAATTCACCGGTCTACATTTGAGAAGACAGCGAGCAATGCTTTTGTTGACTACTTGAGATGCATTTTCCCTCACATTCAGTGTGGTTTATCTTCCATCTGCTGTTCTCCATTTTTATGTAGTTTCGTTGCTGATTCTTCCCATCTAATTGCTTCAGGAAATAAATGGGAATTGATTCATCAGAGTCTTAAAATTTTACTTCCTTACTCATTGTTAATGATGCATAAAAATACATGAGGTCGTATGGATGGAGCAGGCAAGCTAATTCTGCCAGTAATGTGAAACGTTCTAGTTGAATTGTGGATCATTATATATAATACATCCATAAAATAATTGAGTCATGAATCATGACTTTCATGAATCATGCATTATTCAAATGCAGTGCTCAACAGAGTTTAGGTGTGCATGTAAGAGACAGTATTTACGTTGTGTAATAGCTAGGAGAGATGGGGGCAGCTTCTGCACACTGCTAGATTTCTCTTGTAATCATGCAAATAGACTAGACAAAATTTAAAGGAGGAAGAATTGACCCTGTAAGAGAGACAAAACGAAAGACATAAGAAAAAGATGGTGTTGAGTCTTATTGAAGATTCAATTTTTAGAGACATATGATAGAATAATTTATGCTCTTTTTGCAAGCGGAAAGAACAGAGGTATAGAAGAAATGAAAGGTTTTGCTAGTCTTTACATCAGATATGAAAAAAAAGCAGTATGTAGTATGCAAGAAGAGTAAGGAAACAGAGTCTGACTGACTGGCTAGCTAGTCTAATTCACATTGAAATCAATGTTTCAGGCAGACTACATGTAATCCAGAAGTTGGCTCTGTCCACAATTAGACGAAGAGGCAAAGGACGGCAGGATTGAGTTGTGTGTGTGTGCTCATTCGCTCATTGCCTTGCACACATCCATTCTTCTATCGATTCAACAGCAAGAGCAGAAAACTAGATAAACTAACTCAATACAATTTTGTGGTTGTTGGATTTTGCCCGCACTCATCAATCTATCTGTCTATCCGTTTTTTTTAATTCATTCATTTATTCAATCATCCATTAGTCAATTTATTCATTTATGTCTATACGTTTATATTTGTGCTTCCGCCCTCATCGTTCTCATCAAAGCGATTGGAAAATGAGCAATTTTGGTTGCTAGTTTGTGAAGGCAAGTAAGCAAAGGATAAATTCCACCGTATTATACTGATACTTACTGCAGACGTTCTTTGCGAGTAGTTGAAGACATGGCAGGCATTTACATGCAATATCTTACTTTCAACTATCTAATCTATTCATCTACTCATACTCATACTCATGTATCTATCTAATCATTTATTTATTCATCCATCTTTCTCTCTGTTATAGTCTTGTCCTGTCTTCCTGCCTCTTCATTGCCTTAGCAAGGAGTTAGCATTAATCCGAGAGGTTGTTCTTGATTGCTTGTTCAGTCATTTATTCTTTTATCGCTCACTTTTCAGATGTGTTACTTCAAAATATCACGGATTTCATTCACTAAGCGTTCCTTTTGTATCACATTTTATTGGCCAATTAATTGATGCCTCACCGTTATCGTCTTTATACAGTCCTGATAACTCTGTCATTACCATCAAAGTATCCATTCTCTCAAAAGCAAGCTCACACTCGTCATTTTTAAATTAACTTTTCTATGCTATTCGGCATAATTGTATATATTACTTGCACATATATGTCACTGATTCAGAAGTTAACACTGATCAGAACATTGCAACGTATTTCAAAAGGACTATTTCGTTGAAATTAAATGAGTAGTGGCGAATTTGAAGTACTCTTTTGTTGTAATAGTGCGATATATTCACTTTTTACATGCATATTACCACATGTGTTCAGTATAACTAGTTGAACTATGAGAAAGCAAATTACCATAACAAAGTTTCCTCTACAAGTGTTGAATGAAAATATCATATATTTTTAGAAATATATCTTAGTGAGCAACTCTTGACAGACGTTATTTATACTGTAAAGGATTGAGATGTATCACTGGAACCTTTTATGGAGGTGCATTTTGCCTAATTTTGGTTGTTGTTTCGTAGGGAAACAAAGAAGTCACAAAATATTCACAGTGTTATTTTTGGTGATAAGCTTAGAAGCATTACGTTTTTTCGTAACGATTAAACATTGTTTCTGTTATCTTCACTTCATTTTAAAGACTCTCTTTACCATTTATCTATCGAGAACTACTGATAAACAGTGAAGTAAGGCATTTACACAATTTTTTACTTGCAGATTATTTGTTTTAAAATTTTGTGCAGTGTAAAGCTTGATTGTGGAGTTAAAATTTTTCTCAGTTTTGCTGCTGTTGCCTGCATAACATAACCATTGCTGATACCTTCTCACAATATTATGTAATAAAGATTCTTAAATTGTCTATCACTTATTATCAGACACTAATCATAAGGGTTTATGAGTGGTACAAAGCTTATTGCGTTTGTTGGAGCATGAAAACCAATCGCTTATGAGCAGATATAGTTAATTTTTCGTTGTTCAAGCGAAGTTACAGTATAAGGCATGCCCATGTGAGAGAGTTAAGAAGAATAGCGAATTAAGTAGGCGAGCTGTTGAGTTCGTGCAGCAATGAGCAAATTCAGATAATGATTTTGATGTACAAATATACTCAACTCATGAATATGCATTCCATCTAATCCTTTATTGTTCCATAATTCCTGCTAACCCACTTGCTGATCGCAACAGCAAGCTGTAATCTAATTTGTTTGCTTGTTTGTTTAACACTAGTTAGTTATGAATATAGTTATCGTTTGTTTAGTGCTTCTCCCGGTTCTCATTCCTATCTCAATTTATGCTGATATTTTTTTCATTTCCGCTAAAATTGTTTAAGTGAAATTTTTCGTCCTTGTAAGTCTTGTCTAACAATTGTTCGTAGATCCATCCTAACATGGTATGGAGTTATTTATATTTAATGGTCTAACTGAATGATTAAATTGTCAAAACAAGTTCTAGCTACCACAGTCAGCCTTTTTTGAGAAATGGCTAATTACCGAGCGGATTTATTATTTGCGTGCATGCTGGCAATTAAATTACTTAATTTTCACATGATTCATCACTATAATATTGTATCATCCAGCTTTGTTTAGTTATGGTTTTTAGCGGGGAATCGCTGTGCTCCTTTACTCTCTTCTTAAATTTATCAATTGCTAAATTCCATGTGTGCTTTTATTCAGAATATGCCAAAAAATAAGGATAGCTCATTATGATGTGTTGGATGGAAAATGTAATAATGGTGCAATTTATGTACTCATCTTCCCAAACATTACTAAGTAATTTAATTTGATTAAACTTCTTTATTACTCAGTCGTTCAACAATTATTATTCTTTCATCTCATTCCAGTATTATTTGCGACGATCCTTCGCTCTGACTGTTATGCTATTTTTAGTACAGTGAATTTAAGAGATTCAGTGCGAGCAAGGCAATGCTTGTATTTTCTTCTCCTTTTCGTCCTCCTCAATATTGATTGATGTGTCGTTCTTATTACTCATCCAGACAGTTTTCATTGTCATGGTGTACTGTTATAATAAGGAGTGAAAAATGTTGGTCTTGATGCTGTAAAGAAGCTTCAATCTTTAGTATCATTGTAGTTCAAAGAAATCTTTGGACATGTAGTGAATTAGTTTTTCTTGACAAATTAAATGAATTTAATATGATCATATTTTCCTGGTTTTAATACCTGCTATTGTAATTCTTTATTGTCCTGTAATAATTTTCCGCACGTTATTTTGGAGTCAGAGAAGATATAAGATATAACCTTAAGTGTAATATTCAGGCGGGTAGCTGTTCTGTTTGATTTATTAATGAGCAGTTCTGTGGCCAAACCGGCAAACTTACCTCCTGTAGAATCACGAGGATTGCAAGAGCATCAAATCCCCACTGATAACAGCCAACATTCTAACAAAGTATATTTTTCAAGTTAAATCTTAAACTCTGGATTTTATGGTCCATTCTTTTCGTTGTGATAAAACTGATAAGTTTTTAGGGTGAAAGTAGTGCAAATTTTCTACGTGCTGCACGAGCAGGAAATCTCGATCGTGTGCTTGAATTATTGCGTTCAGGTACTGATATCAATACTTGTAATGCAAATGGACTAAATGCTTTGCATCTCGCGTCCAAAGAAGGGCATCATGAAGTGGTCCGTGAACTTCTGAAGCGGAAAGCGGACGTTGATGCTGCGACCAAGGTCGTTTATCGTAGATGTACTTTTTTATATAACTTAAATGTTGTTAACTATGTTTTGAAATCAAGTATTGTATGCTGATAATTGTTTTCAGAAAGGTAATACAGCATTGCATATAGCGTCGCTGGCAGGTCAGGAATTGATCGTAACTATACTGGTCGAGAATGGTGCTAATGTCAACGTACAATCACTTAACGGTTTTACACCGCTTTACATGGCTGCACAGGAGAATCACGAGCCTGTAGTGCGTTATCTTCTTGCCCATAATGCAAATCAAGCTTTGGCTACAGAGGTTTGTTTTACAGATTATTTTCGAATAAATTGTTTAACAGTGGAACAACTGGAACAAACTTTATTGGCTAAATAATTTGTAATTGTAAGTTATGCATATTTTTTTATCGGAGGAGCTTCTCTTCATTGCTTCTGGAATAAATATATTTTATGCTACATAGTAATATGTGTATGATTGCAATCACATGAATTATATACTCTCTGGATTACAGTGCTTTATTTAATTGATGTGGGGTTACAATCTTCAGTTATGCTATTAATGAGAATTTCGTAATTAGGTACGGAAGTTTTGTTGCTACTAAATTAAGAAGTTTTGTGATTCCATCCACCAGTTTCTGCAATATATTTGATTTTTTCACTTATTTAAAAATTCTTTTCGTATTAAATGTGATTGAAAATATATGAATCTGAATATTCTATAGTTTGAAAATCAAATGCAAGATATGTTGAGTTTGTATATTTGGTTTCTATGATGGTTTATTAGTTTTGAATCCATAAATTGCATTTTTGTGGTTTTTCATCATTTCTCAGCCTTCTTAGTTTACATTCACGTGACTAAAGTTATCAATAATTAGAAAAGATTATTTCATGAAGAATCCTCACTTTTTTTTGTCGGATTTGAAATGAAGGAAGAAAAGGAATGAAATTAAGATGGATACAAAAAATGTATTTGTTTTTACTTTTCGTTTCTTATGTTTCTATCTTTCTAATATTCAAAATAGCTTTTCCTTTTTTTACGATTATGTGTAGTATTCATTCATACAGTTTTTGAATTAATTATTAAGCCAAATATTTGGAGTTTACATGCATTAAAGAAATGACGAACTGCTATGTTTTTGAAAACTTTTTATTTAACTATTTGTTTTCACGGCTGCTTTTAGTGTTTTATATTTGGTTTTCATGTTTTCACGTTTGGTTTTTGTATAATTTTTATACTTACGTTTTGTAAATCTGTTATCATGACTTAGGGGTGGTTCTATATGTCTTTAAAATTTTGTTGTTCTTTTCAAGGTCTTAAGATGAGCAGTAGAACAGATAATTTATTCGTCGTTAGAATTATTATAACAAAGTATTTCTTCCTTTATATTTTATTTATTGTATCCTCTCAAGTCATTTGTGAAGTTTGTTTTATTTTTAGGATGGGTTTACTCCACTTGCAGTGGCTTTGCAGCAGGGTCATGATCGTGTTGTGGCTCTTTTACTTGAAAATGATACACGAGGAAAAGTGCGCTTACCAGCTTTGCATATTGCTGCTAAAAAAGATGATACAAAAGCAGCTACTTTATTGCTTCAAGTCTGTTTATTTTCTCATTTGGCTATTTTTTGTATCAGAAATTCTTTTACGTTCCAATAATATCAAAATTTTATGCTTACACTCTTTAAATATCTTCTGTGTGCATTGGAAATATTGAAGGACTGTGTGCAAATGAAATTATTTATTGGAAGTTTCAAAATTATATATGCTAAGATTGCAACACTATATGATATTCAACGATTCTTAATTTATTATTAGTTGGGAGAGAACTTTGAATCTAGTAGTAATCCGTTATCTTATGTCGGGTGTTTTGCCGATTGAGACTGCTTTTTTACAGAATGAGCACAATGCAGATGTTACTTCAAAAAGTGGATTCACTCCCCTTCACATTGCTGCACATTATGGAAATGAGAATGTCGCGCAGTTGTTACTCGAGAAAGGAGCTAATGTGAATTATCAAGCAAGACATAATATAAGGTACATATTTCTCGAATACCTAAATAAAATGCAGTCTGTAAATGAGCATTTTGAGGATAGAAAAAATATATAATGGATAAGATGTGTTTTCTTACTTTATTTCTTAACTAAAAAACTGGCTAGATTTTTTATTTTTTAGAAATGATAGCACTAATATTTTCATTGCTGTCAACAACTATATTGAGGTTTTTTTTTTTCTCACTTTACTTTTTGCAGTCCTTTACATGTTGCAACGAAGTGGGGACGTGCAAATATGGTTTCCTTATTATTGGCCCATGGAGCTGTGATTGATTGTCGTACGCGGGATTTGCTTACTCCACTACATTGTGCTTCCCGTTCCGGTCATGATCAAGTTGTCGATTTGTTGCTAGAAAAGGGAGCTCCGATCAATGCAAAAACAAAAGTAGGCAGTTTTTTGGGAGTGTTAACAGATTTCAGTACTGTTATTTATTCAGGCATCCGAATGCGTAGGAAATAATAATTTTGATTGATGTTGCGGTCATTTTCTGTTATTAAAATATTATAGAATGGTTTGGCTCCTTTACATATGGCAGCACAAGGGGATCATGTTGATAGTGCACGGATTCTGCTGTACCATCGAGCTCCAGTTGATGATGTTACAGTTGATTATCTCACTCCTCTTCATGTGGCTGCTCATTGTGGACATGTTCGCGTTGCTAAGCTTTTGTTGGATCGTAACGCTGATCCAAATGCTCGCGCTCTTAATGGCTTTACACCATTGCACATTGCTTGCAAAAAAAATCGCATTAAGGTATTTAATCTTTTCTGATTTCTAAACATTATATCTGGATTGTTTATAAAAAATTATTTCGATGTCTGGTGTTTTCTGCTGATAGTAATTCAGTGTTCAGGTTGTCGAACTGCTTCTAAAATATCATGCTGTTGTCGAGGCTACTACGGAATCTGGGTTATCCCCATTACATGTTGCTGCTTTCATGGGTGCCATAAATATCGTCATTTACTTACTTCAGCAGGTTAATTAATGATAGCGTATTGATTAGAGAACATTGACTAGTTGGGCAATTTTACACTTTTTTCCGCCCATGTATCATTTGCTTACAGTCAATAAGAAATTTATAGAAATAGAACACGGTAATTTAATTAATATGCCTTTCAGTTTTTCAAGATTTAGAGGTATATTAAATCATCCGTGTCCTTTTATAGTTCCGGATTGAATTTATAATTTAACTAGTCAAATTAACTTGCTTATTCATTTTCATTTTATATTTTTATTTTGCTTTTATGTTGAATAGTCGACTGTGACTGTGGTAGCTCATTGTTTTCAGGGTGCGAATGTGGATGTGGCTACTGTGCGTGGTGAAACACCACTGCATTTAGCCGCTCGAGCAAACCAAACTGACATTGTGCGTGTTTTGGTTCGTAATGGAGCTAAGGTTTGCTATTGTTTTGAAAATATAAACACAGAACTCTTTTTTACATCTGGGATATTTTATTTTTATCTCATATTTCATTTTATTTTAGCATACATTAAGTGTAGATTTGAACTTTTCAGAAATTTTAATTTTAATTTAAGGTGGATGCTACGGCACGCGAATTGCAAACTCCATTACATATTGCATCACGTTTGGGTAATACTGACATTGTAATTTTGTTGCTGCAAGCAGGTTCTTCATCAAACGCTGCCACGCGAGATCTTTATACCCCACTTCATATTTCCGCAAAAGTAAACATACTTTAATGATCATTCTGCAAAAAAATTGGTATAATACCATTAGATTATGTAGTTTTTAAGCATTTTAGGAAGGTCAAGAGGAAGTAGCAGCAATATTATTGGATCATGGGGCGGACAAAATGCTCCTTACAAAAAAAGGATTCACTCCTTTACATCTTGCAGCTAAATATGGGAATCTGGCAGTTGCAAGATTACTGCTGGAGCGTGGCACACCAGTTGACATTGAAGGCAAAAATCAGGTAAGTTGAGTGTTGTGTGGAATTCCGTTATATGTGTGTTTTAATGCTCAGTGAACCATTAAGTTCATTTAATGCTGGCGTATTTCCACATTAGAAATAGGTACTCGTTTAAATTCCGCAGTAACAATAGAGATAATGTGTAAGAGTCGTATTAATCCGTTTTTTCGATTAATTACTTGCAGCTCATGCTTTTATTCATAATTATCTTACCATTGTGTTGTAACGGAATATTGATTGCGCTTTCACAGAGAGTTGCTTCTATACTTTTAAATTATTCTTGTTTTAGGTTACACCTTTGCATGTGGCTGCACATTATAACAATGATAAGGTGGCGTTGCTACTTCTTGAAAATGGTGCTTCTGCTCACGCTGCTGCTAAAAATGGATACACTCCTTTACATATTGCAGCAAAAAAGAATCAGATGGACATTGCTAGTACTCTCCTTCATTATAAAGTGCTTATATTTTCTACCCATTTAAATCCACTTTCTGGTTCATAAATAAATACGTCATAAATCATTTCATGTATATCTATTCATATCTATTTTAACGACAGACTGTCAGAAATTTGTTTTTATCACTGTTATTTATTAAAATATATTTCAAGGTTTTATATTTTTGTATTTTCTTTGGTATCTAATTTTTATAATCTGGTGCATATATTTTTCCTAATTTTAAAGGCAGAAACGAATACAGAGAGTAAAGCAGGTTTCACACCCCTTCATCTAGCCGCACAAGAAGGACATCGGGAAATGGCTGCACTATTAATAGAAAATGGAGCAAAAGTTAGCATAACAGCAGTTGATAACATTTAAAACTTAGTGTTGACATTAAGTATCATACATAGCTGCGAAAATGTGTTCAGGACAGTTTGGGTTGTTTTTAGGAACAGTAGTAATTGTTACTTGTTACTTTAGGTTGGAAGTCAAGCTAAAAATGGTCTAACACCGATGCATCTCTGTGCACAAGAAGATCGTGTAAATGTAGCCGAAGAATTAGTGAAAAAAAATGCAGCCATTGATCCAAAAACAAAAGCAGGGTACACGCCACTGCATGTCGCATGTCATTTTGGTTTGATTTTCTTTTAAATAATTTTAGTTCATTTTATTTGTAATGATGGAAATTCAAAAATTTTTTAGGGCAAATAAATATGGTTCGTTTTTTGATTAAGCATGGCGCTCCAGTCTCTGCTACTACTCGTGCTTCTTATACACCATTGCATCAAGCTGCTCAGCAAGGACATAATAATGTCGTGCGTTACCTATTAGAACATGGGGCTAGTCCTAATGTTCACACATCGGTAGAATTTATTGTACCGTAAAAATGAGTTATTTTTAGAGTTTTTTCAACAATTAGAAGACTTGTCGATAATTTTGGAAAGCTGTACAAAAAAATGCCTTCTATTTGATTGATTTATAAGATTTCCGAAGATACCTTCAGCATACTGTTACTAAATTCGTATAATTTCAAGACCGGACAGACGCCACTGTCGATTGCTGAACGTTTGGGTTATGTATCTGTGGTTGAAGCACTAAAAACAATTACTGAAACTACAGTAATAACGGAAACTACTACAGTTACTGAAGAAAGGTATAAACCTCAGAATCCAGAAGCAATGAATGAAACAATGTTTTCTGATTCTGAAGACGAAGGTACTTGAGATTTGTAATTTTATTTGCCAAATTAGATAGAAGTACAGTACGAACTAGGTATATTTTTATTTTCAGAAATGTCATCTTTGAAGACTATTTTAGTTTACCTATTATTAGGTAAAGACTTGAGATTTATGCTCACAGCGTAGTTCATTTTCTATTTTCAAGTTTTTCATATATTCATTTCAGTTGTTTTAAAAATTTGGGGGAAACAATTATAGAGGAAATAGTTTTTGTATGAAATTTCATGAGTTATATCTTTATGACGGAAAGAAGTCTTTCATTAGTAAGATTTTTTACAAAATAAGGTTGTAAATTTGAAAGATTTTGTTGAATAATTTAATGTGCAAATTGATAACAGTGTTAAAGCTGTTCTAGTATTTTTGGCTTAATTTTTAACTGACACTAATAAAATTTTTTAATCACTTATGCATATTTTATAAAGTTATCAAGGAATATAATGTAAATTTAGATTTTTGAGTTCTGTATTAGTTGCTGATTTTTTGCAACTATTAAATGGGATTTAGTGCTTTTATTGAAGCGCTTTGACTTTTTTTGTTCGCTGTTCATTTAAATCGCGCATAATTAAATGAATAAGTAACATGACTTACATAATGTATTAATGGCTGCTAAAAAATTGAATTAGAAGTTGTGGTAGTGTTAGTGTATGCTGTTGTTGTTGTTGTTGTTGAGTGTTTATTCGTCGATTCAGCACCGAATACATTGGAGGAGGATGCGTCGCATCTTCGTGCTTTGGCACACTCGCCGTTGCGCCTATCAACGTCAGATGATCATGACTTGAGCTTCTTTCCCAATCACACTTCAAGTCCTTATCCTTCACCTGGAGCTACTCTTGTTTATTTATCACGTATGATTTTTTACTTCATTTAATATACTTTTCAATTTCTTGATTTCTTTTCTCATTCGTTTTATGTTTTTTATTTAAATTTAAATGAGAATAGCAAATTGAGTTTTGGTAGATCTGTTTGCAGAAATTTGTAAGTGTAAGCGGAATAAGATGGGATTGTTGCTATACGAAATAAGTATAATGAAGTGCACACATACTGATCACTTTGTTGAGTTGATTGCGCGATTGGTACTGGGAATGAAAATGTTGATAATCTCTGCTCTTTGCAGCGTGAAATTAATGTCATAATGAGCTTCCTTACATCTGGTTTCTCTTATAAAAAATTTATTGCATGCGTGTGTGGCCTAGTTTATTACTACTAAGCAGTTTTATGGAACGTGCTTCTATGACATAGTGTGTTATCTTCATTTTTATGATATGTTTGTTTTGATTATGTTGTATGAATGGAGTACAGTAATGTGTTTGATAGGTTGCCTCAGATTTGATGGTTTGCAGCTCTCTTTTTTTCTACAATAATAATTGTTTTTCGTATTGTCACTTTTTTAGTTAAAGAAAATGCGTTTGTTATTTTACGAAATATTTCAGTTTTTCTTTAGTTTTCTTGGGTGGAGTCACACTGCGTTGTTCTCATGATGTGTTGCTTTCGCTCACTCCAATGCATTATTATTATTATTTTTTTTTAATGCATGGAGTTATCAAGTATTTGTAAAACTGAAGTGGGAACCAAAAAAAAAATTACTTTTTTGATTGTATGAATTATGTGCTGCATTGACGACTATTGATTAAGACGCTTTACAAGAATGGTTTGAAAAATTTAGCATGTCTTGACCAAACTGTGCATTAATGTAAAGTGAAAGACATTATTACAGGTGAAGATAACCAAATCACTGCTAATGCTCATGCCCGTGACTTCTCAGAAAGCCTCACAAAGGGTTTACACGACTCAACTGGTTTGCATATAATTCATGCTGCAGAGCCGGTATGAATTTTTTTTGTGTAGAAGTTGCTATATTAGCTGGAGTTCAAATGGCTCGGGTTATGGCTCTTGTTTCCTTTTTTCGCTTCCCTTACTCATTTCACTTTCATTATTTACTTACCTTTACAGCCTAGTTGAATCAAAAAGTAATATCGTTCATGATGAAACTGTTAAAATATAATCATCGGTACTTCTAGTATACATATTTTACTTCACTTTAGCTACAGACTTTAAAGAAAGCAGATATAGTGAAGCTGTCTTTTAAGTAGTTCTAGATTGTTAACTTTATTTATTCAAAGGCAGTTTATTTTAGATGCTGTCGCGAAGTATCGAAATGGAAGCGACTGATGGTGATCTAGATGCATTGATTCGTAAAGCTCAAGTAATTCCTTTCTTATATATCACTTAATGTTGTACAGAATCCTCTCTTTATCTTTCGTCATTCTATGTATTAATGTATAGTATTATAGTGAAGAATTTTTTTACATAATAATATGCATTTAACAATTAGTTCAATTAGTTATATCTTACATCCTCTAATACACCATGCTATATTACTTTGTTGGTTATATTTTATTTCGTGATGTTTTTATCAATGCATCACAGGCATGTATGCATTACTATTTCTTTCTAGCACGAACCTTTCACCACAGTAATGGCTGATTCTTGTTTAGATGCTTCAGCTCCCGATAATATTACCATACATAGAGCTGCTGTACAACCCAGGTAAATAAATGTCTTACTCTACTTATTCATGGTGAAGATAATGCATTGCATATGAATTAATTTTTTAGATTAAATAGCTAATGCAGATGTTATCAGCTTAGTCATCATAATATTCTTTGTTTTATAATAGATCATGGAGGTAGAATCACTACAGTTTGTGAAACCACATTTTCTGATGAGACTGTCTATTAGTGTATTAAAATCATAATTGAAACTTTTTCAGCAAACTTCTTCACAAAACGTGAGTCCTAAGTTTTATAGTTTTGGTGCTGCATTATTCGGCATGTCCTACCGCTTATTTCTTTCATTTTTCATTTTAGAGGCGGAAAATGATCCAAATATATATATGTGATGTCACATATTTCGTAAGCTAAGACGGCATTGAATCGTCTCAAATTTTGAATTGCCTAAAATCTGATGATAATTTTCTCTCCTTTCAACATTTCTGGATTTGGGTTAATTCTCCGACCTCAAGTTGATGTACTGCTCTGATTTATTTAATGCTCTCATTTATTGCTTAATGTATAGAGGAACTTTTCAAGCACTCTGTCATTTCATTGAATCTTTTAGCTTAAGCGGCCTGTATTAAAAGCAGACAAATTTTGATACGAAACAAGCCTAATCCTATCTCTTGTTTTTATTTGAAATATTGCTTTCATAAAATCAGCTTAATTTGACTAGAGGCAGTAACTGCAGGAATCTCTGTTAAAGTTTTCTGTTTGTTAACTAGGAACAGAAAGCTGAAGTTGACTTCTAGCTTGCAACGTTTTCATTAATTTTATCACAAATTAGACGAATGCTTTTAGCTTTTTAATTTCGTTCATGGTGGATGCACGTGGAGGAGCAATGCGTGGATGTCGTCATTCTGGTGTCAGAATTATTATACCTCCCAGAAAAGCACCACAACCTACTCGCATCACATGTAGATATCTCAGAAAAGTAAATATTCCTAAATTTTTTATTATAAATTTGTTACTAATATCTCTTTTAAAACATTTTCACCTGAGCTTTAATTGCAGGACAAATTGACACATCCACCACCACTCAGTGAGGGGGAAGCTCTTGCATCACGTATACTTGAAATGGCGCCACATGGAGCAAAATTTTTGGGTCCTGTAATATTGGAAGTACCTCATTTTGCATCACTCCGTGGACGCGAACGGGAAATTGTCATTTTACGATCTGATGATGGACAGCACTGGAAGGAGCATCAACTTGAAGCAACAGAAGATGCTGTGCAAGAGGCACATTTTTATTTGGGAACAGTATTTTTTCCAAAATTTGTAATTGAATTTTGTGATTTAGTTTTTTGATGATGATATTCTCGTGAGATTTTGAGGAATTTACTTTTGGTACATTATAGGTTCTAAATGAGTCATTTGACGCAGAAGAACTGTCTCAGCTTGACGATTTGCATACATCACGTATCACGCGTATTTTGACTAATGATTTTCCAATGTATTTTGCTGTCGTCACTCGTGTGCGACAGGAAGTACATTGCGTTGGTCCAGAAGGCGGTGTGATACTCTCTTCAGTAATACCTCGTGTACAGGTCGTTTTTAAGAATTTGAAGATTATTTAGTTCTGTGCTTTGATCCTGTGTTTTGTATGCTTTTCATTTCTAATTAAAGTTTTAAAGAGTAATCTTCATTATCCATAGATTATTTCCTAGCATTATTAAGCAGATTATCTCGTTAATTTCAGGCTATATTTCCCGATGGTTCCCTAACAAAAACGATTAAAGTATCTGTTCAAGCGCAACCTGTTCCGCAGGAAATCGTCACACGCTTACACGGAAATAGGGTTGCCGTATCTCCAATTGTAACTGTTGAGCCCCGTCGTCGCAAATTCCACAAGCCTATAACTCTGTGTATACCACTTCCACAGAGTTCAAACAAAGGAATGCTGACTCAGTACAGGTGTTTTGTTTCTGATTTTCCTTCCAGTAACTGTCAAAATTTTTTTTACTGTGAGTGCAACTGATAAGTGGCATTACGTTCTGAATTTTGTGGACCTAATTTTTTTTAAAGTTATAATTTGCAGTGGTCAACCAGGACAAGAACCACCTACACTTCGTTTACTCTGCAGCATTACAGGTGGTTCTGCTCCAGCTCAGTGGGAGGATATCACTGGAACCACACAGTTGACATTTACTGGTTAGCTTGTTGCAAACTTTTTGGTCATGAATTTCCTTCCAGATTTCTTAGAAATTGGTGTATTGGTTTCGTTTTCTTTCGTAATTTTGTATGATTTTTTATATTAAATAGGGGAAGATGTTTCGTTTACCACCACTGTTTCTGCTCGGTTTTGGTTGATGGACTGTCAGACTCCACGAGATGCAGCCAGAATGGCACAAGAGGTTTATAACGAAGCAATTGCGGTTCCTTACATGGCAAAATTTGTAGTTTTCGCTCGTCGAACTTTTCCTACTGAGGGGCAATTAAGGTTTTTTTTTTTTCACTTTTCAGCAAAATGCAGTGCAGTTTTGGCACATCTCTCAGAATTTCAGAGTGTTTTGTATGACTGATGATCGGGAGGACAAAACTCTGGAAAAGCAAGAGAATTTCTTCGAAATCGCAAAATCAAAAGATGTAGAAGTTTTGTGTGGACGACATCAATTTTTGGAGTTTTCTGGAAATATACATCCAATAACTAAAAGTGGCGATCAGCTATCGCTTTACTTTCTACCATTTCAAGAGAATCGTCTTTCTTTCATGATAAAAGTCAGTTTCGTAGAAATTATATATTTGAAGCTGCTGATTGTGGTATCAGAAATAATATGTTCAATTTTTTTTGTTAAATATTCAATTTAAGACTCGCGCTCATTCGGAAAATGAAGCTACTGCTAGTGGACGAATATCATTTATGAAAGAGCCAAAAATAAGAGCAGATAATTTGCCGCCACAAGCACCTTTATGCACACTTACAATTGTTCTCGATTATGCAGGCCAGGTAATATTTTTTTTAATTGGAAGACTTTTTAAAAATCGTTAATGACAAGTTGCTGTGTTGTATGTGCTTGTTTTGATATATCTGTAGTGCTTACTTGGTTATTTTTCTTCATAAGTTTTCATTATCCAGTATTTTTAAATTATAGATGAAGAACTTAAAGATTTGTTTGTATGTTACTGAATCTTTATCATGAAACTATTTCTCAGGCGTCAGTGGTATCTAACAAGTTATCTGATGCAGAAACTCCACTTGCACAGAAATACATGGGAGCTTTCCAAGAAACAGCTCAATCTAATGATCTACCATTAACACAAGTTGCACGGTTAATTGGTGCTGACTGGCATCGATTGGCCAGAGCACTTGAAGTTCCAGACTGTGATATACGGCAAATTCGGCATCAGCTTGTAGGGCGTGAAGCAGTCACAGTTTTGCATATTTGGATATTTTTGAAAAAAGAACAGGCTACACGTAAGTTTTTTGTTGATCACGTAAATAATTTGAATATTAAAAAATTGATTGTTATTTGCATGAATTTTTTTTTGTTTGTTCGATTGCTCTTTGCATTGAACACGTTATTTTCCTTCGAATTAATAAAGCATTCGAATTTCAGCTGCTACTTTACGATTAGCACTGCAACGGATAGGGCGCGATGATGTAGTTCGAGAAATGAATCGAATTCAAGAAACTGGTAGTGTAGAAGAAACACCTATTTCACACGCGTCTGGAATGGCAATGTCAACTACCTCATTGGAGACATCAGATAAGAAGCATTATGCAGACGAAGTATGTCTATTCTAGTGTTTAGTGATAATTTTTTTTTCACTAAATGACGTTACTATCACTCATTTCTAAGGAAAACGACAAATATATAGTATTTAAAGGTTTCAACGACGCAACAAGAAATGCCACATACACCTTTTCATCAGCGTACAAATTATTATTTGACGGAACATGGGACAGTTGAAGAACCACAAATTCGTGGTAATTTTTTTTCTGCAGCAGATCTAGTGTTTATGAATATAGGTCATTCTGTTCTTGTTTGACGTATCGGAAAATTTTTCAGAAGAAGAAGAAGTTGCAGTTTCTGAAATTCGAACAGTCGTGCGTACTGAGCGACATGTGCATAATTCGGAAAACGGTAACTTTTTGTGTGTATTTTTATCCTTCAATTTAAAATGAAATTCTACAATGAATCGTAAATGAGTTCTTTCAATGTTACTGTAGGTCCAATTGTGGAAGAGCGTACAATAACCACAACATATGAAGATGATGTTGCCATAAATGAAGAAATTGTTGATAGAATAGTACCGCTGAATGAAGAGGAGCAAGAGAAGTGGAGTCAAATGGTTGGGGATGCGCATATTATGACATATGAAGACGAAAAGAATGACTATTCTCTCGGTTTGTAATTTTCTCTAACTTTCAACTTTTGTACTTTTTGAGTGATACTTTGACTTAGAAGCTTATATGTTGAGTACAGAATGCGAAGATTATCTTTATCGCTTTTTTTATATGAATCTTCCGAAAACCTTTATCCTTATCTATCTTAATGTCTTTTTGATACTGTTAGAACAAGTAGTCTATAAATTACTGCAATATCCAATGACCATGAATACTACTTAATTTTATAATCTATTTTGAAGTCATTTCTTGATAGAGACTTGTGCGAAAACAATTTGAATGATTCTGTTCTTACAATTGTATTTTTCCTTCTGTCACTCCTGTTTCTATGTGCATCAATTTGAATTGATGCAAAAGGTGATGTATGTAGTTGTTTCCAAATCAGATTTGCCTAGATTAACAATATATGATGTAGAATTTTTAAAATGAATGAGCTCTTTAATTTGAGTTAAAATTAAAACAAGAGTAGAAGTAGGAATAATGAAATGAAGCTGGAATATGACCATAATAAGGTTTCTATTTTCTTTGTTGCTTTGCGTATTAAAAAGCAGTGAATGACTCTAATGAATTTATATGTTGAGAAAATATCAGGTTCTGAAATTTTTGATGTTGATCTACGTGATTAATTAATTAATTTATTTATTTATATCGTGAAGTTTGGAGGAAGTAGCAAAATTGCAAAAGAGTTCCAAATGCCCTTTGTTTAAATATCTCTGATATTTAAGTTTTCGCTTTTGCCTGCTGCACACAGTATTTTGAATTTGAGGGAATAGGGTTTGGGAAGGTTGATATAAAATTATGGGATATTAGAATGGCCGTTATTTGTACAGCTCTTTCTTCCATTGCTTGCTAACCAAACATTTCTTTGTAATACGTTAAAGTCAGTTTTTTAAACGCTCTTGCTAATGACATTATTGCTCTTTTGCGCTTCAAGCATTCCTTATTGTGAAAGTTGCTTATGCATCTATTTACAATAATATGGAAAAGGGGGACAGAAAAGGTCAAGTAGAGTCAGCTGTTTTGCATATTATTTGTATATCATACAAGATAATCACTTGCGAGATTGTGATCAATGAGGCATTGGAAGAGAGAGTTGTTTTGAACTCGTTCAGAATCAATGACGGAAGCAGAGTGTGCAGCAGAGACATAAGCATCAGGATTGCAGCAGTAGCAGTAGCACTTGATGGCTTGTTGATTTTTCAGACGTGATGGCGGAGGAAAGGCGAACTAGTCAAGAAGCTAAAAGGCAAAGCGTTCATGATTAATTCTTCTGGATCCATTTAACTATTGCAAATTTGAGTCTCGCGCATAACCTGTGTTACTAGCATTTGTGCAATTTGCATAATATCATAATCTGAGTACTCTTTCGGCTTCCTATTATGTTAAAAGCATTTTCCATCATCCATTAACTTTTTTGCTGCTGTAGTCTGTAACTGCTGCTCTTGATAAATTTGCTCCATTATCTGACAGAAACACATCAAGCACAACAGCTGACTCTTCTTTACTCGGCTCCTGCTCTCGAACCTTTGCATCCCACTTGCCCTTCTTCATTTGCTTTCATATGTTTTCTCTTAAAGCGGTTACACTTGTCCTTTTCCTCACTGGGTTGACTTTTTTTTGGTTTTATTGCTTTTGGCAGTTAACAGGATTATATTTGAACTCATTTGGGCGCTTCTACCTTAACCTTTCATCATTTGCAGTTACCAAATTCGTTGCTCCAAAGGAGGTCTTTCGTGAATATAAATAACACAACAAGATATCACTTACAATAGCCAACGGGAGGTTGATTCACTAAGGGTTATTGTTCAAATAAGAGCTGTCATCATTTATTAAGTTATGATCACGATGGGTCATCTGCAACTGTTGCAGTTGCAGCTTAAGGTTGTTAAACCAGCTATCACCGATAATGGTCAGCTGGAAATAAATAATCACATCGTTTTTTGCTGCATCTTTTGCAGAGATTGCAAACCGAGGTATAAGACATATGTGCAGTGTAAGAATTTAAATACCGCCATTGCAGAAGTAATGAAAGTTTGTGAGAGTGGAAATGATAAATGCAGGAAAGAAAGTATCTATAGGCTCCGTTTTAGACTATTTGTGTTTCACTTTGAGTTCGCTAAAAATGAGCATTCCGTCGGATCGGCATGCAGCTGCAGTTAGTCGCTTACAAGACCTTGAAGAAGAATTACGAGATGCTGGGGCGATATGTCCTCCTGACACAGCTGTTTCAGATGTTGTTGCTAACGCACTGGCCACAGCATCTCCAAATTCTGATATTCAGATTCGTGTTAATTCATCTCGGCAGGTCACCACCACAAAGTCGGTTTTTGAAACGGAAACTCCGGGAATGACAGGTTTGGATGCGGCAACAGTTCAGCGCTTACAGCAACAGCTTATATCAAATATGAGTCAGATTTGCTTCTCGTGCCGCATGTTCCTATTTCATTATTTGTTGTGATGATCTCTGCTTGCTACCATAACTCATTACAACTTTCCACTTCGTTGTCTTCTTTTACTTATCATTTGACCAGCATTTCAGGTGCATCAGCTGTACCTCCGCTTTCAACGGAGTTGGATGCTTCAACAGGTTGGTTTTTTTTTTTTTGTTCTCTCATTAACTAATGATATGCTTCAACTTTTTATATTGCCGAGTGCATTTGAATGCTTTATTATTAAGCTTTAAAAAAAATTTTATTTATTACATCTGCAGTTTACAATTGTGTGTTGTCCCAAAACCGTAGTGTTTTACTATAGAAAAAAAGCATTTAAATGCATTTTATCTAGAAATTATAACATCAATTTTTTTCTTGCTTCAAGTATGCATGTGAAGTTCAAGAACTATGTACTGAGCTTGTGGAATCTACGTATGAGAAGAACTACGAAGTTTTTTTGACAACAATCAGTATTTAATTTGTAGAGTTAAAATTCTTAATTACTGATTCATTTTACTTTGAAGTAACCGATCAGAAACATGAAAGTGTTGCTGAAGGCTTTGCAAGTGATGATGGCTCTGTCGTTGTGTCCAAAAAAATGACGCGTATTGTGACTACAACGAAAACAATCCCAGGTTGGTTTTTGTGAGAGCTGCAGTGGCATTTTTTAAATGACATATGAAGGAAGATTCATGTTAATCTGGAGGTTTTGTATATACTTGTTGATATTTTTAGTAAAATTCATTAGGCTATATTGCAAGCTGCTATCATTAATTTTTATCATTATCTTATTCCATATTATCGTTCAAAGATCACAATTCTAATCGGTGAGTAGCCATGGAGAGAAGTTTACATCTCTAATGTTTTGTATTTGTTTAAATTTATAGCTATGTTTTAGACTTAGACTTAGTTAGTTTTTGTAGATGATCATCATCCATTTTTGAAAACCAGTTATTTTTCGATTTTTGTAAATGCCATATATTAAAATTGCAATTATCTTTTATGTCTGTCTTTTTTTCTATTGGATCTTATCAAACATTCAAAAATTTACGGTACCAAAATGAATTCCATAGGATTCCACTGAAACATCACTGTCGTTTATTTAAATGTTTTATAATAGACACATTGATATTCAGTTTTGTCTTTATTAACAGTCTTCATAATTTAAGTAGTGAGAATTATAGCTCTCATTAGCATTTCACTACTTAATAAAGAATTGGTTTTGTAGAATACATCAAAAATGTTATTAATTGGCTTTCTGCTTCTAAAACACGAGTAAAACTTTCAGGCATTACTTTTGTGCTGTTATAAAATATATTGCAGGAGAGAAGAATGAATCAAATGCTGGTGAGTAAAAGATGAATAATATAGTAATGTTATGGAGCGTCTTGCAACGTGCCAGCTTTCTAGCGATAATAACAGTTACTGCTGCTGCATGTCCGCGGAGTGCACTCTGTCTTTTAAGCAAATTCAGCTGTTAATTTGAACTTTCTTCTGTCTATTTAGTGGTGTTAATCGTTGTAACCATTTTGCTTTGTTATGTTTATGTTTCAGCATTGTTTAGACAGCAAACTTCCATTCAATTATTGTTTTGATGTGCTTTTGTTTCATTTTCGAATTCTCATTATCAAACAAACGCGGTCACATGTATTACAACATTATTTCGTTAAGCGCTCTATTTTTCGTTTTCCCAAAGAATGCATTTGATTTTGAAACGTGGTGGTGTTTTTACTAGTCTGGCTGAATGCGTATTTATCAATGGTGTTCTTACTTGTTGAATGCGTATACCAAGTTTTTTTTTTTCATTTGGTGCTTACTTTACACTTCTTTCGGAATTTCACTCTGGAGATTTGATACACCTGAAAGTGAGTGATCAGGTATTCAGGCAGCGTAAATCCCCGTGCCAAGCCAATAGTTATTGCTGAGCAGCAGCATCGAGAAATGGATCATAGCTGCTGAAAGCAGTAGCGAAGTATTTATTTATTGAGTATGAAACACAATATGATTGTCGTCTACTGTCTGTGCTTGTATGAACTACCACTTGAGTCTAGTTATCATAGTCACGGTAAATTGCATTGTTTGCATGACTTGTTAGATGCCATACACCACAAAGTTAGGAACTGTCGTCAAACATTTTCATTACTCTCAAAAGTCTAGATGAAACACTCAAAGTTGACTGACTCATCATAGACTTTGTGATTTTCGAGAATGAGTAGGACAGAAACTGTCTTTGATATGTTATGGTGAGTGTCGGTACTTGTGATCTTCATTTATCTGATGATGCGTACATATAATTTCATTTACTCATTTGTATGTGTTCAATATTGAAGCGCATGAATGATTTGGCTATTGCTGATGCAACCATCTGCTTCTTTTTGTCCGTTTAAATTATGAAGTAGTTCTTAGTACTGGGGAACTACCATTCCTTAGTACTAAAAAACTCTAAAGTTGTTAAGGTAATTCCTGGTCATTACTACACTTCTAGAATATTGGATTCGAGTAGTTTCGGAACTGCAGTGATAAGAAATAGTTATACAGTTCTTACTATGTTCAAGTTTTCATTTTTTTTCTAATGACTATTTTGTCAAAGTTTTCAATTCTGTCAATGATTGGTTAAAGAGCAGAAGTGGTGATTTTTTGTGTAGGGAACTCTGTAATTTGCTTGTGTCCTTATTCCTACTTTTCATAAATCGTCTTATTTTCTGATCAGTTAAAATTAATAAGATTCCAAATGCAATGTGGCACCCAGTTTTAGCCAGCAAAAAGGGGAGTCCACTCCAATTTTGGATATTGTTCGTTAATTTCTTCGTCAGTAGCATGCAATGCCCATGAAAGGGAAAGGATAATTACTGAAATAACTCACTAACAAGTCTATTTTAGTACGGGGGCCGTCATTTTGTGTGTTTGTTGGGCTGTGATTTTAAAAGAGTGCTCTACTTTTATGGGGGATTTCTGGAGTTGCAACTTAGGAATGGAGATTTTTTTTAAGTGTGACGGTAATTTCCTTTATATTGTGGATAAGGACTTCTTCATTTTGAGAAGTAATTCAACTTGTTATGTTGAATCGTGAAGAATATTGAAGTAGGTTTGATTATGTGGTACTGTCGTTAGTTTAAAAATTACTTGTAGAACTCGATATATGCACATTTCCCCCACTAAACTACCATTCTTTCATGCAATTTTTTTAAAGGAACTGTTTGCGTTTGGAGTATAGATTCGTCTGTAGAGTCCTCTCTATGTATTTTTTGACACCAAATTATTTCGTTAGTCTTCGTTCTAATTATTGATATTGAAGTAAGAGTTACCGTTTCTTCAGAGTCAAGCATTGCGATTTGTTTAAATTGCAGATAATCTCTTCATAAAGAAGAACAAACTCTTCTGTTAATGCTTATTATTATTGCATAAAAGCATATTTTAAATAGAATGATTATTTTCATTTCATTGAAGATGGTGCGAATAATGGACGTTAAGTACGAATAATGGACGTTAAATACGCCTATGAAACAATTATTAAGATGTTTCTGAAGATCACACTTTCATTAACTTTAATTGCAACATGCAAACATATAAAACTCAGCAGTTATAGTCTGGTACAGAAAATCTGTGGCAATCTTTAGAATACTACTTAGCTGTATCAAAATTTACTTATTCCCTGAAATTTTTAAAGAGCAATTTCTATTTAAGTTATTCACAAACTTTTACTTTGACAGCTTACTATATTCATATCTAAATTAATAAGGTATTTTATAAATCTCAGAAACTCTCGATGGTGAATATTATGAATCAGTTGTTTGAACAATTCCAATTTTTAGGGGCGACTTTGGATCTCCCAGGTACAGTAGGGTCAGTCAAGGAGCGCATCGCTAAATTCGAATCATTATTATCTGATAATCATGATTTCATTCGTATACCAGATAATTCATTGGAAGGACAAGACTACGAAACACACAGAGTTACTCAGCAAGAACCTGTCCCCTACCATGATACACCGAAAGCAACTTCATTCATGGTGGCAAATGAAGCGTCAGATGCAAAGCAAACTGGCACGTCATTTTTACTATTTATTTACGATTGAGAAGTGTTTATGGGTTGTATAGATGGGATGATAAATAGACAGAAGTAAAGCTGATTGTGAGTAAAGAAATTATGGAAGTAGAAAAAATAGAACCTAGCAGCATGACTGCAAAAGAATCAGTCTTATGTTTTAGACTTTGGAAAGTGTAAAGAAGTATGTGAGTAGCGATTTTCTTAATGAGCGGCAAGCAGTAGATGCGGTACGGAAAAGTTTGACGAAAAATCGTTAGAAAAGACAAAGTTAGGACTGCAGTAGAAAAACGCACGGAAGGTGGAGAAGGATAGAGAAGCTACTCTTGCGCTTGATTGAAAATGATTTTGTAGAGATGGATCAAGGAATTGAAATTGTTCACTCAAAATAGTCTTCAAAATCGAAAAATTGAAAAGAAAAAAATTAAATAAAATCATTAGAAAGCAGTCGTAAACAGTAGCACTAACCATAAGTACAAGTGTTTACTATAGGTCAGAAAATTGGAATGAAAAGTTGAAAGAGTAGAAAATAATCATAAAATTTGGACAATCATAAAAGTTAAGAAACTTGTATGATGAAATGAGTAGTATCTGATCAAGTATACTAAAGTTACAATTAAAACAGTCAGTGAGCGGAAAATTTCTGAGGAGTGACAAATATAAAATTCAAGAACACTATTTGTAAAGAAGTATGTGAGTACTGTAGAGGATTTAGTAAGTGAAAGAGATTAATTAGATTACAAGTCTCATGATATTGAACATTTCTTCCGAGAAAGTGACGCAAACAAAAATTCTTGGGCAAACTTGAAACATGAAGAAATTATTGAAAGAATCAATGGTTTGTATGAGGAGTAAATTTGAGCTATTCAGTTTTCAAACCTAGCAATCATTCAATATCAATGTTTACTGATGCAAATGAATAAATATGATGAATACATCACATTTATTCAGTTTTGAGGGTTGAAGATTTATCACCGCCAAATAGTCTTATTTCTGCAGGATTTTTGGAGAAAAATGATATTTTGTAGGCTCCATCAAAAGACTTAATTCTTTTTAAAATTAAAGTTGAAGGACGGTTATTCTATTGTATGTGATAAGAAAAATTTACAGTAACACAGAAATGTTTTAAATAAAAACTTGAGTAATAAGCCATTGAATTGGATTAGGTGGCCGTCACGAGAAAAGCAATTGCAATATTTGAGAAACATCTTAATGCTGAATAGTATAGCAAAAAGGTTCTATTAATGTACAAGTTCGTAAGATTTCTGGGCAGAAACAAGCAGTTTTGTTTAGAGATTGTAGAAATTTCTTGTATTTAAAAAAACATAGCGTAGTGGAGATGATTATGTCAAGATGCTAGGAAAAAGTAAGTGCGAGAATGTAGTATCTCTGAAAATTGTCTGGTATTAGTTGAAGAATCCTGGCAAAAGCTAGAGAATTCATTAAAAAGGAAAATTTGATGAAAGTGATTCGCTGGAACGTCATATAAGTACTGTAATGGAAAAGAGTGAATGTATTACTAAAATTTATTAGGATGAAGTTATATGTCTGACGCAAACGTGTGCTGGTATATTTTCATGTAGTAAGACTAAGGCATGAAATTTGAGATTAGAAATGATAAGGAGGAGATTGTGCTATTAAGATGTATTCAGAAGCAAAGATATCCTGTACTTGGTGTTATTCCACGAAAGTAAAGAAGTATGGTGGGTCGTATTATGAGATCAAGTATTGAAGGATTTCAAAATTTGTACGTCAAAATTTCAGTCTGTAGAAGCTGAAGTTGGTAATGCTGCATGAAGTATACACAAAAGTATACAATAAAAATTAAGGAATTTGAACGCGCAGTAATCAAGTATTATCAACTCAAAGATCGCAAAATTTGGGTAAGATCTGATAAATGGAATGGGAATGTAGAGATAAATCATCTAAAGCTAACAAAGCACTTACAAAACTTGAAACATTTTGGGATGGTGATATGTAATGTTATATGGTTTTCAAAATTTCAAGTAAAGCTGTCAACATATACTAGATCTGGCATATTGTTGATGATTACAGTGTAATAATAATGATCGTAAACAAGTAAGCGTGTAGTTGAATAAATCATTTTCGAATAGCAGTGTGGAGACAAGGATGCTTTGAATGTGTAGCAAAGGTTGGAACGGAGGTACAGATATACCTCTTCGTTATGTGTTTGAAAGTCATGACCAAACGGTAATAAAAATAGGTGTAAAAAACGAAGATGTGAACACACGTTAGAAGTATGAAAAAAGGCAATTTTTAAAAGAAATGGTTTTGAGAGGAATTGATGCTGTATTTTTATTTAATGTTGTGGTTATTGAGAGAAACATAACTTAATGAAATATAAGTGGGTGTGATGCATAACGGTTTTAAATTAAGGATAAAAAATTGCCAAGAGAAGACCATTTGTGAAAAATTTTAAATGAGTTAGAAGATACTGGCTTTGAATAACAAGTGCTTGAAAATGTTTGCTAATCATATGTGATGGCATACACGTGAGGGCGAAGATAGAGTCCATAATAACAAATATTCAGTGATAATACAAAGTAAACCGCATGGTTTGACAGTCAATAAGGAAGCTGGGAAAAATTGCCAAAATAGGATAAGTTTTTGAAAATTTTGAAATCAAAATGCATTTAAGCGTTTTTCAGGAATTACATTCGAGAACTATGATTCAGAGATAAAAGAACGAAATGCAAAAGAAGAGAATGAAATCTCAGTAGCAAGGGTGCGTAGTATGCTACCTGAAGAAACATTTACCATAAAATCACAAACACCAACTGGTCTCTACGAAAGAGTTGATCAAGTAGAAGTGTTGACACATCGCATAAGCCGTCTGACGGATATTCTGAAGGAAGCTGAATACAGGCCATCAGTAGAAAAAATATCTGAACAACTGCGAATTGTGCAGCACACTAATGAGAAGGATTCAAAAATACTGCGAGAAACACTGACCAGCAAGATATCGACAGAAATAACAAATGTAAATGATTTGAAACGAACTATTCCAGCACGTACCGAAGAAATCCACTCTACTTATTTATATCCCGAAATCACTGGACAAAGCCGTTCTAGCAAACTAAATGATCCAGAGGTACCTGAACAAAATGCAGACGAAGGACAGCCACAGAAGCGAGATATCAAGCAAGATCAAAGTACAAGTCTTCAAACACAATATAACATAGAAAATGGACGAGAATATTTGAAAGAATTGGAAGAAGTAGCTATAGATATCGTTGAAATGGAAGAATCAAAGAAGATATCATACGTCAGAGCTCTGTCCAAACCAAAACCTCTCAGCAGAGAAAAAGAAATGGCAATCATCCAAGTAATGGAAATCCCGGAAATACATGAGGATACAACTAATAGTGGTAGGCCAGATGAAGCGAATATACAAATATCTGAACATGTTTCCGACAACTCCTTCAATCACAAGCACGTTCAAAATCAGTGGAATGAGAAAACATTGGTGAGTAAAATGATTACACTTTATGAAACAAAGCTTGAAAATGAAGGCAAGTCGGCAAGTGAGAAAGATGAAAGCGAAATTAGCGCTTCATCGATAACAACAGAATCCAATATGAAACCCTATCATACCGATACAGATTCACATCGTGATATCTCGATTGAAATGAGGAAACTAGAGCATGCGGCAAGTCCTCACTATGAGAAAAAAGTTAAAGTAGGCATTACCGCAGTCGAGACAGAAATTGAGCTACCAGTTGAGATCCATGACAAGCACGAAACCGGAGACATCCATGTACTGAACTCTGACAACACAGAAGAATTAACCCCTCATCGCCAAATTGTTTTCGGAAAAAATGTGACGATCGGACCGGAATTGTCATTCAACGAAGCATGCATTTCGAAACAAATAGACCATAGCGAGCATCTCTTGGCAGAAGGAAAATTGATCGTTTCCGAAACAATTGAACGAGATCATGATGCCCAACCTTATGTCGGAATGCAGGCGTTTGAAGACACTGCTGTCTCAGAAGCAGATACAAGCTTTGAAGTCAAGGAGCGAGATGTCACTGCAGCAGTTGCAGATCACGAGAAACAGATAATTGACGGTGTTTCAGTAGACCAAACTGAATTGGAACAGCCAGTTGAGATTCATGAGGAGCTTCGCAAAG